AATTAAAAATTTCGCTAACATTTTTCAAATGCTACAATGAGCTCGATCATTGATAATAAACGCTATCATATTATCGGTGTTTAATTTCAAGGAATGAGGTAAAAATATGGTACAGATACGCAGGTTTGTCTTTAGCAGTCCGGATCCAAACTCTAAACTAGTACCAAGTGTTTCATGTAAGAAACAAAACTAAGCACATACTGCGACAAAACTAAGGAGTTAAACATGAAATTGAGTTAAATCAATGAGTAACCAGCTTTGAATGTGCAGTCTGAAAGTTGAAAATTCAACTCTCGCTTTCAAATACTTTCGTCATCAAGGCGGATTGAAAGGAGTGTGTTCAAATCGTTGCAACTTTGGTACTACTGCCGCCATCGGAATAACTTGACTTAGGCAAGAGGACGCTTGTCAATGATGAAAAAAAGTGATGAACTTGTCAGTCAGTAATTTAACAGTCAGCCGGACTTGTGATATGTAGATTGATCTCAGACAGTCGATGCCATACCTCTGGAGGGCAAAATGGGAGGGTGCCGGGAACTCCCAGCGGGGGTTTGCCACTCTTGCTCCGGAAGTTTGCGGAGGCATACTGTAACTAGCCCTAATAAAGCTCCAAACCCCAATTATGTCTCCAAACCCCACCCAAATTAGCTTTAGACCAGGGTCCAGCAAGCGGTGTGGCATACGACCGCCGAATACGACCCTCCTTCCGGGTAGGACTTCAACGCGACCTCAACCCCGTTCTCTACCCCCTCCCTCTCCCCCTTAGCGTTTGTAGATAGCAAGATAGAAGATTGAAGACAAGACAAGACATTTATTTAAAACTAGCTGGCGTACCCGGCTTCGCACGGGGCCAAACTTTGCACACATACACTTCGGGGCAGGGAGCGTGTCATACTCCACTTTTCGTTATCGATCGATGTCGATTTTACCGATTTTTATCGATTTTTTTGCAGAGTTCACCTACAGGGCTAGGAGTTGGCACAGGGGGGGAAGTGAGCATGGGGATTCCGAATACAATATTAGTTTTCAGAATTATCGATTACTTTTATTGATTTTATCGATTTTTTGTAAATTTTGACATGCGAGGCTGGGATTTTGCACAGGGGGAATCGAGCATGCTGATTACGAGCACAATATTAGTTTTCAGGATCGTCCATTACTTTTATCGATTTTATCGATTTTTTGAAAATTTGAGCTAGGGGGCTGGAATTTGGCACAGGGGGTAATCGAGCATGCTGATCACCCCCCTTGGGGGTGATCAGCATGCTCGATTACCCCCCCCCCCTGTGCCAACTCCCAGCCCCCTAGCTCAAACTTTGCAAAAAAATCGATAAAATCCATAACAGTAATCGATAATCCCGAAAACCAATATTGTATTCGGAATCCCCATGCTCGATTACCCCCCTGTGCGAACTCCCAGCCCCGTAGCTCAAACTTTGCAAAAAAATCGATAAAATCGATAAAAGTAATCGATAATCCTGAAAACCAATATTGTATTCGGAATCCCCATGCTCGATTACCCCCCTGTGCCAACTCCCAGCCCCGTAGCTCAAACTTTGCAAAAAATCGATAAAATCGATAAAAGTAATCGATAATCCTGAAAACCAATATTGTATTCGGAATCCCCATGCTCGATTACCCCCCTGTGCCAACTCCCGGCCCCGTAGGTGAACTCAGCAAAAAAATCGATAAAAATCGATAAAATCGATATCGATCGATAACGAAAAGTAGCCTATGACACGCTCCCTGCCCCGAAGTATATGTGTACCAAGTTTGGTTCCGATCGGTTCAGAAATAAAAATTTCTATTCCGCACATACGTACAGACATACATACAGACAGACAGACAGACAGACAGACAGACATTCAGCTTTATATATAAGATTATCTGCAGAACAATTTACTACAGTTTGCAAATGCCTTTCACTTCGTTGTCCAAAATGCTCACCCTTAAACTCCTCATCGCTCCTCATGTTCTGCGAGTACTCTTCTGCACTCTTCTTCTTGAATCTACTCCTTGGATTCGAGCACCGCCGGAGTCATTCAGACCGATGAGTGGCGCTCCCACTATCATAGCCTCCTAGAAACTTTCTTTCAGATGTGCCTAACCACAAAATATCAATCTACCCTCATGATCTTGCAAATCGTTTTGGCATGGATCATGGATTCAACTTTCAGATTGCACATTCAAAGCAGGTTACTCATTGATTTACGCTCAATTTTATGTTTAACTCCTTAGTTTTGTCGCGGTATGTGCTTAGTTTTGTTTCTTATATGAAACACTTGGTACTAGTTTAGAGTTTGGATCCGGACTGCTAAAGACAAACCTGCGTATCTGTACCATATTTTTACCTCATTCCTTGAAATTAAACACCGATAATATGATAGCGTTTATTATCAATGATCGAGCTCATTGTAGCATTTGAAAAATGTTAGCGAAATTTTTAATTGGGACTGAGAATTGGAGGATAAGCTGGGAATGGATTCCTTTTATGAACAGCATTAGTTACGGCAATTATTACAGCCTGAAAGTGTCGCGTATTACTCTATAGTTGCATGATAGTAAGCAATTTACCACAACAAGAATTTTCCAGGCAAGCATTGTCTCTCAAATCGGTTGGTTGTCTGAAAACAGTAAGTCAAGAATGCCCAAAAAATTAGAAAAGTCAAAGAGGGAGACCGGCAATGTGCTGAGCTGTGAAACACTTATATACGCAAACCATTATAGTCGATATTGATGAAAATGTTAGATCTCTCACTAGCTGTTGGTTTTGCTGTAATGCTGAATTTCGAATTGAGATAATCGTTACGTCCCTCAATACCACTTAAAAGCATCGAAATGTATATTGCCATTTTAGTAAAAGCTTTGCTGCAAAACTGCCTTTCTATGTTTTTAGATCTTATATCCATTAACGCAAGATACGGAGACTAAGTGAACATTAAACATAGTCCATGCTTTGTTTTGAATATTTATGGATGCCAAAAATTTTTTGTTTTATCTGCACAAAGCTTTGCTGAAGCGGTTATCTCAATGAATGGGCTTCAACACCATCAGGAGACTTACAAGGAAGAGTTCCCAAGTCAGCTCGGCCAACCCGTAGGAGTCATATATCACTGTAACGGACATGAAACGCTGATTCCAGGTCTGCTCTTTTCTGCGGAACAACTCTTCGAAAGAAGTTATGAGCTATTAAAAGTTCAAATTTGTCATGTTTGAAGTGGCTTGAAATTAGCTAAAAGCTCTAAAGCAAAGCGGACTTCTACTCGCTGTATTCCGTCCTTTTAGTCAGTATAGTTGTTACAAAACTGATAACCCACTTTCACGTGTTATTGTACAGCCTTGGCCAATTTTATGCCACTCAAGACTCGGCAAATTTGGACATTCAAACGCTCACAACTTCTTTCAGGGAGTTGTTCCGCAGAAAAGGGAAGAGGATTTGGAATCAGCGTTCCAAGCCCGTTACGTTGATGTAAGACTCATCCGAGTTGGTCGAGCTGATTTGGGAACAACTCCTCCTTGTTAGATGCAAATGTTTAGAGAAGCAAGCTGTTCTCACGCCAAAGAAAAATCCTTATAACAAAGCATGTTTTGAATTTTTGCAAAAATCAACTTCCCTAAGGCCATAACCAACTATTTTCTGCCTACCCGTAGATAGCTGGTCCGCAAAAATCGGATTATCAATTTTGAAAACAATTCGATTCACAGTCGGCAGATATGCTACCACCCCAAGTCCGAATATTTGTAGATCTTGTTCCTAATGGAATAATTTTAAAAAATGAATTTCGGATAGAATGTTGATGCAACAACAGCTTTGGCGCTGAAAATGCTCGTCTTGACACCACCATTTAATTTTCTTTCAAAAAAATTTGCTTGAGAATTTACGAGTGCTATTTTAGCCAAATTGTTAGTTGATTTGCTCTCGTAAAAGGTATAAATATGCGTCTATTTAAGCAACAATCTTTCTTAGAATTGAGTTAATTTTGCAACTCGAAACAAAAAAATGCTGTCCGAATCATTCATATATCACTCTATGAGTTGTCTAATATCTAGAGAAGGTTTCATGTAAAAGTAGAGAATGCTTCTGTTGTGTCCTCCACGTCGGACACGTCGACTCTTCGTCCGGAGGCCGCACACGAGGAATACAAGAATATTTATTAGGAAATAATAGAGAACAGTTAATTAACAGAGGCGATGAGTGAACAGTCAAACTGACAATGGCTAACAGCGAGCGCCTTTTATAGCGCTCATTTCCCGCGCATTGAGGTCGCAGGCGCCTCAGCGAGGGCAGATCATACGAGAAAATAACTGATCAGACACTAACACAACAGCTTCATTGAAAATTGATCTTCAATAATGCAATCGCCAGGACTAACCCTAATAAAATTTCAGCAGAAATCATCTATGAAGTTACAGATTGCTAGGTTTGGGCCTTTACTCTATTCAGACAGTAGTCAACAGAGATTTACATGCCGGACCATAAAATTTTGTCCCCGTAGATAAGCGGCGCTGCTGTTGTTACCATAAAGAAGTTCAAGAAAGAACATTGCAACAATTTTGTCTACGAACTTGAGGGATGGGGAGGTGGTGGGACAAGTAGTGTAGTGGTCATGAAGCGCCGACGCGATCAGCAAGGTACCAGGATCGACCCCGCCCCGGCCGAAGTCGAGCAAACCGACCCAGGCACATCCGCAGGCCATCAGCCAACGCATAGAACCAACGCACCCCGAAATCATATGCCGTCGAAAACAATCCGTATATTCCCCGGCACAGCCCCAATCGCCCGAATAGTAAACATTAAATTTTCGTCAAATGCTTCAACGCTACGCATTTTACTTTCTTCCATGAACAAAAACTTATAATCCTAAGTGCTTGTAACAGTCGAACTACAAGTATGCCACTTGTAAGAATCAAAATCGTTAATTCAATAGATAAGACATAAGCTGATGCCAGGAAATTTATCAAGATCAAAATATATATTTCTTTAATACTAATTTTTGCAGGACGACGAAGGCATGGCTATGTTCGAGGATGTTTATCCGACATACATGGCTATAATCATAGCTTAGTACGAGCTCTCAGCGAGCATCCTGGATGCCTTGGTGAGTTTTTGCAAATTTTCAGTTCTTTTTTTTTTGAAGCGAAAAACTCGATTAATAATTTTTTCGAGTTTCGAGCCAATTCGAGTCACTTGTGCAATCGCACCACAATCTGTATCGCTACTCATGATAAATAGGTTACTCACACCTACATTATTTTTGCAATTTTTCCAAATTTTTTTAAAACATCTTAGGCCCCTTCTTCTTACTGAAGTCTCGGAAAGAGCCTAGAAGTCAAAACTCCCTTTGGGATGTGGGATGAAATGGAGGGTGATGAGATAAATCAGTCTCTTTTTATTGCAGTAGTGCTTGATCGATAAGCTGCCGAAGACACAAAATCTTATCGAAGCTTGGTGCAACACCAAATAACTTGACTTATGGTGCAATAGCACCAAATGACTCGGTGCATGACGGCGAGCATGAACGCCGCCTCCGCGAAAACAGCGATATCTGACGCAATGAATCAAATGTTTGACTCGTGCAAACAGATTTTTCCTTTTATTTCTGTTTCCAGATACGACAGCTCGTCAACTTTTCATGCCGACCGCACTACGGCAAGAGCTGGAGCCGTCACGTTTGGCGATTTGTGGCTGTCACACAAATCTTTGCAATTCATCGACTTCGCATTTGATCTCAGCTCTCGTGATAACATCATCATTCGTCGTCCTCCTCTTTCTCACTACCATAATCTAATCATTGTTACGGGTATGCTTGCCTCGCTGCAAAGCTGTTTGTTTGATACTCAAAAATCACATAAAAATACTTTTACAAAGATTTCTGTTGATTCATTTGTATAGTGAGATATCATGTTTGATTTGTTTGTAAAGTGCTGACTCGCTCAAAAAACTTCGATATCATTCGAATAAACGACTTATACTGACGATGAGTACACTCCACATGGATAATTGAAGCAAAAGCAGATACATGCGTCCCAGGGGCATCAAAATATGAAAAAAAAATTTTCTTGGGAACCATACGTTTTGCAATGAATCAAGTTAGACGCTGATAATGGATGAAAAATGTTTTCATCTGAAAATCTATAAGTTGCACGAAATTAATGGGACCATATGCTAAAGCGAGTATGAAAGCTGTTTGATAGAACAAAGCGCCTCTACAGAATGATCATCAAATTCAGCATGAGTCGTAATCTATGTAGAGTTTGGAGCCAAAACCTAAAGTGTTAAGTACTCAAGAAATGCGGAAGCTGTTGAACAGTGGTTGAAGCGTTTGCTTACCTATTCCCCTTGATTTCCATCATTCCATAAACGACACGAGCATATTAGGTTGTAAAGAAAGTTCTGCCAATAGACGCTGAGGTAAATTGTTATATTTATATCTTCATCATGAATGGTCATCATTTAGCGATATTTTGACCATGTATACTGACAACCTTAGACTACTGATTAGGTATATCATAGATGCGCTTTTTCTAAAAGTGCGTTGGCTGCGTTTCAAAACATGTGAAGTGTTCGATTTTTTGATCCCTGATTTCAATGAGTTATTTCTTGCTTGCAAAAAGGCCCGGGTACCTGGGCAAGTGATACTCGGATATGCTTCACCTAGCCAAGACACAGGATATAAAACGGATTTTCAAATCAAGCTTCTGGAAGTTCTGCGCGTCCATAATCTGAAAAATGTCCCTTTTCCCAGACCTGAGCGCAACGGACTTTTCTCCTTTTTTGGGCATTTCTTCCTAGTTGATCGTCATTTTTTCGAGCTGAATAGCGTGTTAGGTAGCTAGGGCCATCGCACACTAAGAACACATTTCAAACCAGCCCTTTGCATTCGCATTCATTTTTGGTATCTACAAGAAGAATTGGCGGAACTTTCTTTACAACCTAATATCTATACTTGTTGTAATTTTTCGTGACTGAAATCTATGAAAACAAAAGTCTGCATTCTCCTGCCAAAACTCTGGGCTGCTTCCTCTAAGTGATTCCAGGATTTTTTTGGGCACAACCATAGCTTTCAATGCGCCGGTTTTCCAAAAATGTCAAAGTGTCAAATGTGAAAAAAGTTTATTTTCCTACCCAAGGATAGAAAACCGAAGGAGGCGACGTTTTCGTTGTAATGGGCTTGATTTCTCCTTGCTGAGCAGCAAAAAAAATGTGTGCCTGTACGTATGTTACCATTATAGTGACCAAATAGTAGAAACTTTGGCTTGAAACTTCACTTCATATTACGATCTAAGCGAAGTGACCATCTCAAGTCTTCATTGTTCTATCAAACAGTACGCTACCAAACTTCTTTGGTGTTTAGCATTTTTCGGTAGAGAAAGCGTAAACTTCGTGACGGTTCTAATAAAACGGCTTTCGAAAAAGGCAAGGTGTCCATTGCATAATAAAATATTCTCATTTTAATGGGCTTTTCGATCAAGTGTTATTTCTGTTTTCTATCTAGAATACTCCCTTGTACATAAAGAACAATAAACTATAATAGTGACTTTATTCATTCTTACAAAGGTAAATCTCTACATAAGATCTCTTAAAGGCAGTGGACAGGCAAAATGGAACCCTGTCAGATTTTGGTAGTTTTGGGTAGTGGACCCCCCAATTACACCGTAGCCCCAACCCCACCTTCCAGATGATGCGCTAAGTCCTGAAAAAAGCGCTTCGAACTTCCACCAATAACGCCCACTCAATGGAAGTGGGCGGGGCTGGTGGAATTTTGAAGCGCTTTTTCCGGACTTAGCGCATGAATTGGAATGTGGGGTTGGGGCTACGGTGTACTTGGGGGGTCCACTACCCGAAACTACCAAAATCTGACAGGGGTCCATTTTGCCTGTCCGCTGCCTTTAACAGTTATCTACAAACATATTATGCGTCAATCTTCAATATGTACGAAAGTGCTCTATATCACAGTGTATTGATACCGAATCTGAAATCTAATACATGGAAATACGAATATATTGAAAAAAGGATAAATAAATTGCAAGTATTTCTTTCCGAAGAATAATTAAACACCAAGATAAATGCACCGTTGACAAGCACCATCCACTCTCCGGCAAGATTGAATACTCATTTTAGGAAAAGAGACTTCAGCTGAAATGGAGTTATATACTTTGGAGGTGGTGAATTATTAGATTATCAGAATTTTAGATTGTCCAAAAATTGATGCACGTCCTTGAGGGAGAAAAGCAAGTCCTACAAGATGGCACTTGAGCAATCGCCAAAAGTTCAACCCAATTGATGTTTGAAAGTAAGATCTTGATTAATTCAAACACTTAAAATTCCCCCGCCCAAAACGATCCTGCGCGCTTGGCCACCTATTGTCATACATATATTGTCCACATTCATATGAACAGTTGCTGTATTTTTCCACGGTCAAAAGTTGTTAAAGTGAAACTTGGCATGCTCTAGCAAATTCAAAAGTGGGCTATCTCGCATAGGTAGTTCTATAGGGCAAGCATTTGGAAGTGCAGTCGTGGGTTTTCAGTCTTCTGCGAGCACTCCGAAAAACATCGAATTTAGTATAGAAACCCGAAAGGTGACTTCGCATTTTGGCATTCTTACTTTTCATTTTCAGATGAAAAATGCAGCAAGTAAACATGTGTGATGTGGGAATATATTTGTGACTAAGTCAGAGGTTCGGAGGATAATTTTGGGAGGAGATCTGATTTCCGAGTGTTTGAATATTTATTCTGCGTTTTTTCTGGCAATACTAACAATACGAATATCCCTAACACTACTTGCTACATTGCACTGCAAGCGCAACAAAGCTTCATCACCACCACCCTCTAAACCGATAAATTATACAAATTTCAAACCAAGAGATTATGAAATCGAAATCCCTCCACTGAACTTATAAGATAAAAATTCATACCCCGCTTCTTTGTGGCGTAGCCGGCACTTTTTGCTCACTCCGTTCTCGTTCAATGCCAGCAAGTTTTCCGTTCAGTTCCGCGACATGTTCCGTCATCTGCGACAACTGATCATCGTATCCGCGGCGAACGATAGCCAGTTCATCCTGTGCAAATCATTGTTAAGAGGGTCTGAAAAGCATGCAAACTGTACCGTAAGTGCCGTCAATTCACGCCTCATGTCTCGAACAGTCTCCTCCAGTTCCCGCTTCTTTTCCTCGCATAAGTAATACTTGCGTAGCAGTATCTCACACTACAACTGTGATAGATAGAAAATGAAAAAATTGGAAGAAAAGAATACTGAGTAGTAATAGATAGTCGAATAATGAATAATCATAACAACTGAATAATAAGAAACAGTAGAATAATTGAAAAAAATAAATAATAAGCAAAGATTATGAAAAATGAAACAACACAGAAACTTACTTCACCCTTGTAGTAGTTCATAGCGCATTCGGCCATTTGCAGATTATCCATCATGCCCAGAAGACGTTCGCGATTCACTTGTTTCAACATATCAACTTCTGATGGGCTACCATCACTAAGAAAAATGATTTACACATATTTGAGCAAAGTGCCTTCCCACCTGTTTTCTTTTGCTCCCAAATTCTCGAGTTTGCGTCTCAGCAGCGACAAATCAACCATATATCCTTCTTTCTCTGACTCGAGTGTGTTCACTCTTGCTTTGAGAGAATTGATCTGTGAAAAATCGCTACGTTAGTGATGCAACTTCATTTCAACTAAACAAAAAAGCTACTACCATCTGTTCAGCTGAAGGATCTTCTTTCCGAGAACTTGTAGGAGAATCGCTAACACACGCACCCACACTTTCAAAGGAGCCCAAGAGGTCCGATGTGTCAACTCCTATAGAAATCAAAAATCATGGTCCGCCTGTCTCACTTCAAGTAAAAAACATGGAAGGAAGGTACAAGCTTCAGCTTGAAAAAGACTGCAACAAACATTTTTACGAGGAAATAATTACCTATGCTAGCCCTTGACCATTCTTTGCTAGTGGGCGAACCTGGCTGCGTGACTGTATCATCATCACACTCATCGTCAAACGGATTGCCCTCGTTGGGAACACCATTTGCAGAAGGTTGCGGGGCTTTTTCGTCTTCCAAAATCTAAAACAGTTCAGATAGGTAGTCAGATAAGTAGTTTCTGTCCCTGAATTAACAATGAGTTCTGAAAGTAAAACATAATTTTGAAAAATTCTCTCTTGTCAAGTTACACGTCAGTGATAATCTGTCGTAGACGATATTCGGAGATAATTTTTGAGACGAACCAGTCCATTAATGGCATGTATCCGTGCAGACATCTTTCCCACTTCCACAACAAGGCGTGAAAGGCAATGGACCGTTGCTGTACCAATGCAACAAATCTTTTTGTTAGCAGTTGGAAAGCGTGATTCGATGGTCCAACGGGTGCAAAAGGTTGACTCCAGCTCTAAATGAGAACAAAAAAAAGTAAAATAACGAGCTTGAGCAAGTCCTACCATTTTTTCCAAAACTCAACTCTAGAACAAGAAGTACCTTTTACTACAGCGACGCCTTCTTCTAATGCTATGCAAAGCTTCTCTCCTCCATCATGATCATTCGAGGATATGCTGGCTAGCGCAGAACTAATCATGTCGATCGTTGTCACGAGGCGACACATATTCGCATACCAAGTATTATTCAGCTTCTCTAATTGAGAATCGCACCAAGTGATCTAAACAAGTGTAAAAGTAGGTTCTCTAAAGCTAATTTACCACCATAGATGTAAAATTAGCAAGTTAGAATATTTTAACATAAAAATATTGGTTTGTCCAAAAGTTTTGTCGCACCATTTTCGAATTGTTCCTGTAGAAAAAGTAGATCAAGTAGTTTCAAATGACACTTTGTTCACTTTCTGGAAGCTCTGGTTTCAAGGATATAAAAAATTAGTTCGGTGATCTTAATGAGCCTTTTTTAACCTGGAAACTGTGTCAAAAGACCAGAAACAGTCATCATAAATTTCTTGATCTTCTCTTTCTAAGTCTGCTAAGTTTGTGCTAATGGGGTTTATTGTTAAAAGATTATTTTGTGAGAGAATTGCAAGGAGAAAAATTGCACATATTGCTGTCTTCTCAAGTTCAAAAAGAGCTGGGGCAGCGCACTGTGACAAAAGAGACAGAAGACTTATGACACTGAGTGCTTTGGATGTCATGACACAGTTTTCTGATATCTGTAGTGCTTGCCAAAATCAACACTGTTTTCTATCTTATTCCAACCAAAGATTAAAATTTGTGAAGAAACTGAAAACTAAGTCTCATTGGACCAGAATTCAGTCTTTTTGATAATATCAATGCCGCGCAAAATCATCTTGACTGGAAAACGTCACGCTTTTCTGGAAATGCTGCGAAAAAACTTTTAAATAGCCAGATATTTTCATTAACATGTCAACTTTTTAGAAAATTCACATTGCAGTCCGTCTACGGTAACACATGACAAATGTCTCGTTCAACCCACCTTGCTTTCCTCTACAGCAAGACGTTTCAGCAACTCTAACATCATGATTTTGCAATGACGAACCACGGCACTCAAAGCGTTTTGCAGATCACTAACGTCCGTCGATCCCTGAGAAAGCGTCCTTATTAGAAAATTTTCTACGAGAAGGAATGCGGTCAATCAATGATAAGACCTGAAATTCTGCTTTCTGAATACATCGTTCTACAACTTCGACGGGATGTCCAAAAAGTTGTGAACACGTTGCAAGTTCCGATGAAAGCTAGAAAGAATGCTAAATTAACTAATTATGGTAACCATCATTGATGGATTATATTAGTCAATTACAATACCCAATGTAGAAGAAAAAATCAGGTCAACCTTTTTAATGTGATTTGGGACTAATTCCATAGAAGCATCAAAGGGATACACTTGTGTTCGCTGATACAAGAGCTCGAACAACGTGGACAATCCTAGAAGCTCAAGACTCAACGTGGCTATAAGGGCATTAATACGCACTCCACCTTTTAGCGAGTTTCTTGTCGACTCCGCAATCTGCAGATAAGCTTCGTTAATGGGTGGTGGGGTTGGCGAGGACGATTCCGTTAGAATGCTGCGAATCTAAAGTAAAATTTTGAAGTAAGCGATATAACTAAACCTCAATTCAAGATGTCAAATATTGCGGGCGCCACGATTATATTCTTACGAGTATGGTGAACGTGTATGGTGAACGTGTAGGGTGAACGCTCGACATTCCACTGATTTTCGTTTACCGTAGCAAAAAGATAATCAAAAACGATAATGATAATGAAATGAGATATCTAATTCACAACAAAAAAAAGAACTAAACATATTTGACGATACATACCTCGACTGATTGCTCCAGTGGTCTTACAGATTTCACGGGCCTTTCTGGTTTATGCTCTTTGGCTTTATGCGACTCAGCTTCTTCTAACTTTCGAGCGAACTCAGCGGAAAGTGCTGCAATCTCTCTAGCATGATGTTCTTCGAGTTCACTCATCTGTAGCAAAAAATGGCTTGTTTATGGTGCACCAGAAAAATACCCAAGTACCTTGCCATTCAGTTCCTCATTCTGCTTTATCTTATTCTGCAATTCCTCCTCCATAACAGCGATGCGTTCGCCTAAGACCGCTATCTCAGCCAGCAATTCCTTGGCATCTTTTGATTTTTTCAACTTCACTTTCTAAAAAGGACGTAATTCACAAACGGTCTAAAAGGCTGATGACTGATTGGTAACTGAAAAAAAATCACCTTGACCGATCCTACTCTGCAATGGTTTGCTGCGTCCAATTCACCTTGCAGGCTTTCAACTCGTTTCACCAGCTGATCGTTTCGAAACGCAAGACTTTCATTCTCCGCGATAACTTTGTGGAGTTGCATTTCCAGTTCTTGGATCCTTTCCTATACAGAAAATCTCAAAGAAAGATGAAAAATACGAACAAAGCAGAACTCACAATGAAGGCTTCATTTTTCTTCCGTTCTGAGATAACCCCTTCACTCAACACCTTTACATGTGAGCGGAGCTGAAATAAAGTACAGTATGAAGAGCCTTCACATACTATTTCCGAAAAAAATTTCTGGTGTTTCCAAGCGGATCACGTGCTTCAGATGGGTGTATGTCAAGAAGCGCGGTTCTTACTCCCAGATGGACATCAAATAGCAAATAATAAGTGTTTCACAACATTCTAAAAGTATTCAAAATAAAGACGGAGATACATTAGATGGTTTCATGGTTTCCTCAATCTTGCTACCTTGGAATTAGTTCAAAACAACAATTAAGGTCAAAAACTCACGGAATTGTAGTAAAAACAAATTTGTGAATATTTCGGTCCATTTTCCAGCAAAAACCCCCAAGTTCAGCAAATGGTAACCTCAGACAGATGGTAAGCTAATGCACTTCATTTGATAATTTTTGCAGACTTGCGTAGCACTCTGAAGTCTTGAGTTGGTGACACCGGAGAAATCGCGCTTCTTGACCGTCTCCCAGAATGTAAAGCCGCTCAAGCGCAAGCATTGCTGTATCAATAGATAAGTCGATCTGACGTTAAATATACAATATAGTATACCAGCTGTAGACTTTTAAGAGAACGTTTGCGCGTGAACAAATTGCCAGAAGATGCGAAACTTCTAAGTGTGCGCTCTAAATACACCTTCCGCGCACAAATTTCCGACATTGCAAACGTAAGGAACCAGATAAACTGTGGATCACTCCGACTACCCACTACCGACATAACATGAGTTTTCTACTGACGCACAATCGCTGCACTCCCCTTCTCCTTCTCTAACAATGTCATTCTTCCAGCTTTCCATTGCATCTTTTGATTGAAAAAAAAAGCCAATATGATTACCTTTGCATACTCCGTCGACAATCTCTCATATCTTACATTGACGTCGGTGTTGAAGGAAACCGAGGACACCGACATCCAACCTATATATACCTAAACATTCACAGAGGAATAATTCGGAAAACTGCACTCAAAATAGTAGGACAGCGACCACACTTACATATCCTACAAAATTGGTTGAAAGCTTCATTGTCTCAAATTATTTACACCTTATGTACAATGACAAAACACATTTAAATAAGCAATGCAATCTGACGGAGAACATGTTGTCACTATATATAGCATTCAAATGTTCTCAATGCTCAAACTACAATTTAAGCGCTGAATAACTGCATATATAGCCTATCTCAATGTGAGTGTCAAATAACCTTGAGTGTCCGCGGCTCCTCGCTCCAGCCTTGAACCGCGTTCGCGCATGTGCTTCCTGGGCATATTATCACGGTTCGCGGCAGATTACTGCTGGGCGAGGAAATACCCAAAGAATATCTGCGTCCGCGGACGGTGCAAAGCCGGAGCAAGGCGAAAAGCTACTGCTTTGACACTCACACTGAGACAGCCCGTACACGCACACTCAGAAATACACCTGCTTCGCATCATTTTGATGAGACTCTTCGGGACAATAAGGACATTTTAAACGATTATTCCTATGATTACTACATAATTTAGTGACAGCCTCCCGAGATATCACGTGTCCACATGTGAGTCGCATTGGTGGATTACTGTCTGTGCTCTGCTGACGAAGAATAGGACACGTGAATGTAGAGTGCACATACTCGTCGATCTTCACCTCGACAGGCAGCTCCTCGCCGCTGAAGAGATGATCTTGACGATTGACCATAACCTGCTTGAGGTTCACCAAGATTGGGACAGCACGCATTCCCGTCAAAATGACATTTGCAAAGCGCGTATCGCTTTGAGCCAAAGCCACCGACATTCGCGATTCCAAAGCAGGCCAAGCCAGTGGGCTGAACAACGCTTCGTAACGTGGATCGTTCCTGTCTTTGCCCATCACAATAGCTCCCATCACCTTAGCAGTCTCTTGCTCGTAGCCGAATGGGGATAGCTGGCGTCCAAACTGCATAGCTTCTATTCTTCGCCCTTCTTGGATCAATGCCACCATGTGCTGTTTCAGTAGATCGTATTGCAGCTTCGTATCGCTATGAGGGTTTTGTTTCAACCATGCAACCGCTGGACCGATGTCCTGGTTCTTCAGAGCTTCCATTATCCAATCTATAACCTTCCTGTTAGCAAGATAGCCATCAATACGGCCTCCAAGGCCGGCTTCTTTCACCAGAATTTCTGCGATGTTTGTATGGCCACATGTCATTAGGTAGTCGCACACCATGCCATCCACCAATCGCTGTGATTTCGGATCGCGCTCGATGTCTTTCTCGTTTCGTATTAGGCCGCCAATCTCACGATGAGTCGATTTGTCAATATCCTTGCCAATCTGCGACACTCCATGGTGCAAAGACTTGTGATGAGCGAGCATTTGTGTAAGGGTTTCCTCTCCTTTGGTTCCTAATTCGCCGAGCAACATCTGACCGGTCACTGAGATCTCCGGAGTCGTGTCATCGGACAGAAGTTCCGTATCGTAGAGTTCGGCACTGGCAAGCAATTTGGTGATATTCGTGTCCCATGTGCCTTCAAACTGATCCAACTCCTTTGAGAGACGGTCTAGAGAAGATTCGATTTCCACCAACGATTCTCCTGTTTCCGACATGCGCTGGAAGCAGAAAATTGTCTTCAAATCAAGTTGACAAAACAACTTGCATCTTGAATATGCGTTGACTATGCGGTTTGAATCCACTAGGCAAAAGTTCAAACAATGCTGAAGGCACGCGCCACATTCAATCAACTTGATCCAATTCATCTACTTCGCTACTGGATGAGTAAAGGAACTGACCAATAGCGAAGAAATGTTTGCTTCGCTATTGGTCAATTCACTGTTTTGACCGATAGCGAAGTGGATGAAGTGGATCAAGTGACTGAGTGTGGAGCGTGCCAGACATATAGGGAAATCACCTTTCTGGCAACCCCATGTTTTCTCAAATGTTTTGAAAATTATGATTTCACGTTGAGAGATAAACAAGTAAAATAGAAGAGGTAGTAAAGGATGGCGCAACCACATCAACCTAGTCCATTCGCAACAGATAAAACTTTATGCAAATGAGATACAAGTACATTCGACCCGCAGCTGAAAATATATGCAAAACACAGACAGTAATCTATAACATAAATGAGACAATTTGAGAATAACTATAAATGGCAACGTCAGATACAAATGCTTGCTAGAGCTACGCCGAAACTAATCCAATGTGCAGCATAGTGATGACGTTTCCATACAGAGAGCGTATGATGGTAAGTGTAGCCTTCACTGGCCCCTTCTCCATCGAATGGAGCGCCAAGATAGATGAGTTGATAGACAGAATGTACGAAAAACAAAAGATTTATTAAGATTGTCTGCCAGCATGCCTGAAAGCTATTTTGAAAAGCAAAAAAAGAGATTGATATTTTCTTTAAAAAAAGGAGAAAAATCAAAAATTTCTGCTCACCCATCCTCTTTGATGCTCACAATTCTTGCATGGTCGAGCACGTACACACATAGAGAAACGCTTCGATATTCGATTACGTAATTCTGAAATAGAAATTCATAAACAGACAAAAAGTCATCGGACCAAACTCACTATTTTCAAAATAGCAAACGAAACCTAGCGACAAAAGTACAGCCGAGATCTGGAAGTTGAGTCCCTGCAATGTAGTAAGTTGTGAACGATGGATAAAAATTGTACAAAGGTTGTGAACGATGGACGAAAACTGTACAAAGAGAAATTAACGATACGAGTTACGCTTCACAATTACAAAAGAATATTCCGAAAGCCACTTACATGCATTAGGGAGCTTATGGCGAATGAGATAAATATAGAGGCCGCCGCACCCAGAAAGGCGAATTTCAAATAGACATCTGCAATCATTTTGCTTGAACCTAACAGTTGAAACTAGCCAGAACTAACAGGAACGAAGATATCGATGCATAGATATGTTCCAGCCCACAACCACTTCGACCAGCGAGCGTGGCAATTCTACTGATAATGGAGAGCAAGTCGATATCCGTAAACCCGATATGGTGATGAGTCCTGGATTAACAAAAGAAGGCAGGTTTTTTTAAAGAGGAAAACTAACCCTGAGAAAGAAAGCACACAAAGTAGTGACTTGTTCTGAACGACTGAGCAGTGAAGTAATCTCCGAACACTGCAACTCCATCAAATACTATGGGTGAACATGAAGAATAAATCAGCATCAAGAACGCGAGGAACAGGACTGCGATTCCCCAAAGGATATTCACAACTTCTTCCTGAAAAATGAAAAGAACTCAGTTATAGAGAAGGCACGAGAAGACTGACCTACCTTTACCGATTTACACTGCAAAGTATCCTCAAAATCTCTAATTGAATAGAATGGCCCAAAAATTATTGTAGCGGGATTTATAAGATATGCAAGAAAGGGTATTGCATTGGCAGCTCCCGCAGTTCCAGCCGTATCAAAAGCTAACGATGATAATTTCATCGTGAGCACCATGATAATACCACGAATGGCAACAAATTCCGCTGCAGACATGAGGGACTGCCTGGAGTTCATTTAAGAATTCATTTAATTACAAAACTGAAAAGAAAGAAAGAAGAGTTCACTTACATAATCAGAACTGAGACTATGCATGCACATGTCACAACAAATCCCTTCGATTTAGAGGTGCTGAGAAGTATTAGTGCAAAGCAAAATGAAAAGGGGAAGAATGTCATTAAAGTGTTCGTACGCGGAATCCAATCGAACAGTACTAATGAACCAAGGAATATGCAAGAAAGATGTTTGGCGGATGATGGGAAAACTATAATAACCCTTGCAAAGCTGACTCCAACAAAACTGTCCCTCACTCACCAGTTGATATAATGAGCCGCTGTAAGACAGTGAGCAAAATTATCTTGCCAATAGTGTATTGAACGGAAGAGAAACAACCGGAGACGCACTGCTCAATCTCTAGTAAAAAAGATTTCATTCTACTTCAAACGCACACTTGCTTCTTTCAAAGCATGAGATATGAGCAAAATGCAACTTCTATCTCACCCATTCAAGATGCAAAACTTGCGGAATTAAATAGCTACCTGATATGATGTACTCCACTGGAACTCGTAATCCTCTAACAACCGATAAAGTTCCTCATCCAAATCGACATCCGAATCAGCGGATACGATATTCAACTCATCTTGCTTGAACATCCTCCCGCTTGGATTTGGTGATCAAACACAAAACCAGCCGGATATCACCGTTCTACCTCGCCTCTATCTGGAAACTCAAAAAAAATGCAACGAGTTCCTGCGCAAGAAGTCCACTCAACTTGAAAAATGTGCGTTACATTGACTTAAAACACCAGCGCGAATGAGAATCCAACAAAAACAAACATCTTGCAGGCTAAATGTCATTGCAGTTATCAACTTAGCGATGCGACGTGCCATGAAAACCAACATCTGAGATCGGAGACGTAAAAAAATGTTTCGTGCAGGTACAGAAAACGCTTTGCACCGTCCTGAAAATGCAGGCAGCAGTAGATACATCAGAATTGTTTCCGTAGGTACTATCAATGTTTCTGCCTTTCGACTTTTTTGACTTTTCAACTTTTGAGAAGCGCCTTAAATTTGCTGGAGTTAACCTGTTGAAACGATCGAAAGGTTGCCACGCTGCTGGTACCTGTGAAACAATTCTGGGGATCAAACAAGCATACCAAATGAAGGACGGGTCTTAGAGAGGTCATTGCTCTAATCTGGACGGTTTCAGACGGGAACAGGTTTACAGGCAAATCTGGCAATGCCTTTAGGAGACTCGAACTTCATTTCTTACGAGCTGCAGTTTTTCCTCAATCGCTCCACACTTGATGGCCTTCATAAATTCGCACCACCAAGTCAACAATTTCTCATGCGTTTAGCATTCCAAAATAAGCTGTTGTGTTGAAGCTGAAAAAACGAAGAAATCTGAGGTCCTTTTAGTAAACAGCGCGACAGTGTGACATCAGGCAGTAGAGTAAAGTTTGTCGAAAATTACAGAAGCCTTCAATTACACAGCATCTTCATTTTACAGATTTACACGATAACATCAACAAGACCATATTTTACTGGCATATACTTCACAATCGATATGGCATCTCAGATAAAGCTTATTATGCATGTTCCAGGTCTAAAAAATTGTGATAAAGCGGTTGACTATGGCGAGACCAATCTGAGACTGTTGCGATCACATTCCACAAGACACAGCATGGATTGAAAAATGAGCTGGCTAAGTTATGTCGCAACCGCAGGTTTTTTCCTAGACATGGTTCTCCTGGGCGTTGCCGAAAAACCATCAGTCTGACGGCTACAATACTGTTGACATATCCAAGAGCCCTGTGGTGCTTCGGCGAGACCAATGCAATGAGTGTGGAAGCCTCGATCGCATCTATCGCAGAAAATCATGGACTCCTGCAAGGAAAAAGTTAAATTCTAAGAAATTGGAGTACCTAATTACCTCTTGGTCTCCAAGTGAGCACACCGAGCATCGTTTGCATTCTATGCACTGCCATGGATATGTTAATACACAAGCAACCATTTCGTCGTTCATTTCCAGACAGGAAGCATGTGCTTGCATTGGACAGGCAACACATCTGAAACAGAAAGCATGCTTCAATGTAACAAATTTAGTTGGTCACCAATGATTACAACTAATTGTTTTTCACAAGAAAAATCTTTTTTAGTCAAATTGCCTACGAGGGAAAACTATGCTATTTTGAAGGGCATCGAACGCAAATTCCATATCTGTTTTCGATATCGCCAAGCGCTTTAGACGCCGAAATATGAGTGTTTCTTGAACTCAAATTGAGCGCCACTGGAAGAAAATCTCTGAAACAGCTTATATGGTCTAGTGTTATCTATCAAAGCATTTTCTGCGATGAATATACTCTGTCTGATAGACGCATACTCACAGCTGTATTTGAGCACGGAGGGACCAGGACAAAGATTTCACCTAGATTTCGCGTGCTTTTTGACTCCAAAAAAACACTCATAATTCAGCGTCCAGAAGTGCTTGGAAGATACCAAACATAAATTCGGAGTCAGCATTCAATGCATTTCTTCGGAAAAGCCACATAAATCAATCCCCTTGTCTGCACTGCATTTTTTCTAAAAAATTATTTTTTGCGCTGCTCAAGCTTCTTTTCTAAGTAGCGAGAAGTGCTGTAACAACCTCGAAGTGTTTTCTTCCATTTCCTGCGTACAATGAACGTACCGTATAAAAACTTCGCCTGGCTTCTGAACTTCATCACAGGAACTGCATTTTTGCGGTGTCAAGATAGATTTGGCACTGACTCGATGGTTATTACGCACTGACGATCCACTCTGAACTTATGCAAAAACATGTAGACAAAGCAACGATGACAATGTTTATTTTTGAGCAGCTACATACATATGCACCGAAACTGTAGAGGTAATATGAGATTCTACATTATAAGAGGACTGTGGCTGTTTGAGAATTTAGTCGATGCAGGAGAGGAACAAAAAAAAAACGAGGATAATGAATACGTGAGTTTATATCGACAGAGATCGAAGGAAGTGCTCTGGAGCAAAGATTACGGTCTCGCTCGAATCACGGCCAAAAACATCGACATAATTGACTACAGGTACGATTCGACGTGCGATTCAACTCAACAGTTCATCATCATCGTCTTCTGTGTACGCAACACGTTTTGCACTGGCTCGAGCCTAAACAGCCAGGTTTGACATATCGATAAGACCGACACTACATTGAACAACTGATGGAAGTTAGTCTGCATAAAAAACAAATAGCGACATCTAAGTGAACATTCTCATCGTTTTGATGTTTTGGAACCCGATGATGAATGGCTGTTTAGGCTCATGCAGAGCGAGATTCAAGATACATGATATGATTTATATTCATGTTATTCCGGATGCGAATTCTCAAGCAAATCGCACAAATCTCAGAAATAACAGAAATTGTCACCTTATGCAGTCGCGGAAGAAATGAAAGAGGGAGGTAGCAAGTGCTGGGTAGAAAATGCGCTTATCTGAGATGGTAAAAAGCAGCAGCGCCGCCTATACAACTGGGAGCATATAGATAGCTTCAAAATTACAAAGAAAAAAAAAAGCTTTAAAAAAAGTTGAGACTCAAGAACTCACAGATTTTCGAGCGGGCTCCGCACGTGGAGTAGTCATTTCCATTTTGATCTGGCCAGAAGAAGGAGCTGCTATAGGAGTTCCCTGAGCAGCTAAAAGCTTCTCAAACCCTAAATTATTTCGAGTTGACTCGCCACAATCGCAGCTGTTAAGCATACTTTGCATGTCCTTCTCAGATACATTGATTGGTGGAGGTGAAGGATCGCGGTGTACTGGGAAGAGATGTTCACCATCAAGCACGCTTCCCAAAGGTAAACGACGCAATTCCGAAGCAGTAAATCTTGAATTCAAAAAGAAGATGCATGGAACGAAAGATGAAAAATTACGGCCACAGATATGATTTGATCTGCGCATAGTTAATCTCGCAATGAAAAAAGCTAAAACGGTTGAACGACATACTTCCTGTAGTAGTTTTGATATTGCCCATGGATTAGAGCCACGGGATACGGATCAGGCTTTGTGTATTTTGCTGGCAACTTCTTCCATTTGTTGGCACTTGACTGAATAATCTGGAAGAAATTTCGGTCAATTCTTGCCTCCGGTCCCTTCAAAAATTTAGCCATTACCGAGGTTTGGACGTCCCAATAGTGTTGTCGTTCATATTTTTTCACTGTCTGCAACTCTCTGTTGAAATCTGCGGCGCTTTTAATAGCTTTTTCCCTCAATTCGGCCAACTTCTTCACATCATTTTTTATCTTGAATTACTATTGCTTTCTCACAAGAAGTGAACTCTGAATCACATACCGCCTCCATTTCCTTGGCTTGTTCAGCCATGACCGCTTTGAGCCTTTCAGCAGTCACTTTTTGAAACTCCTACAAAAACTTGATTGTTATAGACCCACTACCGCTGTTATACCTGATAAATCGTGGGATACTCGCTGGCCATCAAATCGCGAATTTCAACAGAACGCATAGCACAGAGATCTCTCAGTTCTGAATTATAAGACACCTTTCATCAAATACGAACTAAACAGTGAATGTACATACGTGTTTCATTCATTATCTGGTGGATGTTATATGTGGCGCACAACCAGTCCCTTTCAACCTTTTCCACTTTCCTACGGCTCATATCCGGAAACTTCCGCGAAAAAGATTTGATATCCAGAAGATCACCGACCTGTTCCTGAAAAATTTTCTCTTAAAGCGAGGAGCATGAAGAATTTACCCTGAAAATGAATCAAGCATGTTTGATAATTATTTTCGTATTAGACTAGCTATCAAGTAATTTCGGCCGTTTTTGAAATTTGTAGAAACGTTTAGGCAAATCTTTGTATACATTTTTGTTAATAATAGCACTGTAAATAAAACAGCAAAGCTATGGAAAACATAATTCTGGAACATATATACTATATTTGATTCGGGAACAATCAAGGCGATTCTTGTTCAAGACGAAATTGTTTTCTTAAGAAATGGTGCAGGAAAGTGGCGAATCCAGAATTTTTACTGATTTTCTGAGATGCAACAAAAACAAACTGAAATTGGATGTAAGTTGTGCAAATGGTACGTACTCATGAATTTTGTTTTCTGCAGTCATGCATGACCGTAGTTGATTGAATTTGAGCGAATACTGCCCAAAAATTGGCTTCCGCCCAAATGTCAGCAAATTGTCGTATACATTTTTGATAGATGCGCAAACTGCATTGTGGTTTGCCACCTAGCCAGAGCTCGCATGTACCGATTTATCAAATCACTCACCCCTGCACTCACTAAGGGCTGAAAACAAAACCCAGAGATTCAGAAAGCGTTTTTTTATTTCCTATTCATGTGAAAACGAGATCATTCATTATCCAATCTAAGGGCCGAATGCACTGACATTCCTACCGGGGGGGGGGGGGGGAAGAATCGTAGCTTTGCTCAACAGAAAACTTCATATCCTGAAGCAAACCTGTGAATTTCACGCTGTCTACCAATCCGTGAGTATTCCTACCATCCTCCACTATGAACATATTTAATAGGAGCGAGAAGCTGTGCAAGCCCCATTTTCCAGCTTCTTGTATGATCCCCTGGTGATCCCCGGCGGCCGACCGTCTTTTCTTCGAAGTCATTTTTCTTTCTTCAAAGTTAGCGAAAACATTCCAAAGTTGTACTGTTCATCTAGCCCAACAATGGTGCGCATATTGCTGGTAAGAACAGCTGAGTTTTTGAAAAATCGAATTTTTCGATAAACTATGACTCCAGTACATCATTTGTTGTTACCAGCAACATGTTTAGCACTGCTGGGCTAGATGAACAGTACAACTTTGGAATGTTTTCGCTAACCTTGAAGAAAGAAAAAGACTTCGAAGAAAAAACGGTCGACCGCCGGAGATCACCAGGGGATCATGCAAGAAGCTAGAAAATGGTGCTTGCACAGCTTCTCGCTCCTATTAAATACTAGCTGGCATACCCGGCTCCGCCGTATGTTCCGAATAGAAAATTCCATTTCTTAACCGATCCGAACCAAACTTGGCACACATACACTTCGGGCCCCGGCGGGTGTCACAGTCCACTTTCCGTTATCGATTGATGTCGATTTTATCGATTTTTTGCAAAATTTGAGCTAGGGGGCTGGGATTTGGCACAGGGGGGTAATCGAGCATGCTGATTACGAATACAATATTTGTTTTCAAAACCGTGCATTACTTTTATCGATTTTTTTGCAAAATTTGAGCTAGGGGGCTGGTTGGCAGAGGGGTGTAATCGAGCATGCTGATCACCCCCACGGGGGTGATCAGCATGCTCGATTACCCCCTGTGCCAAATCCCACCCCCGTAGCTCAAATTTTGCAAAAAATCGATAAAATCGCTATCGATCGATACGAAAAGTAGCCTATGACACCCGCCGGGGCCCGAAGTGTATGTGTGCCAAGTTTGGTCCGGATCGGTTCAGAAATGGAATTTTCTATTCGGAACATACGTACACACAGACAGACAGACAGACAGACATACATGCATACAGACAAACAGACTTTCAGCTTTATATATAAGATGTTCATAGTGGAGGATGGTAGGAATACTCACGGATTGGTAGACAGCGTGAAATCTAGATATCTGGAGCTTCATGATATGAGGCTTTCTTTCAAGCTGCGATTCCCTCCCTAGCGGGGATGTTAATGCATGCGGCCCTAAGTTTACTTCATAATGTTTAGCTCCGCTCAAAGAGAAAAACTTATATCTGGCTTTGTTTATAATTGCTGAGGCTGATGTTCCGTTTGCTTAGAGACGTACACTCTGCCAAAAACCAAAGTGGAGCTGCATACACACTCAAAAGACTAACCTGCAGAAAGTACTTATCTCCAGACTTCAATGGCCACTCGTACTCGATGAGGTCTTTCACTTCGATCTTAAATAAGCATTGCAAAAATATAACGGCAAAGATTCGTAAAAATAAGTACGACCTGTCTATGTGTAACATCGGCTGTAATTACCCTAACTGAAGATCTTGGTGTAGACAGTACACTAGCCATCGCTGAAGATTGCGTATCTAAAAAAAGCAACCTTAACCACTCGTTACACTTCAGCTCCAACATTATTATACTGACTTTCCGCATTTTCCGCTATGTTTGATTCTTCAGGCAAAGGTGCTGGAGGGACTGAAGGCGCCACCTGCTCTACTGACTCGACTGATTCCATAGACAAGTTGCTGTCTTCATGAATAACCATAGGCTGCTCGGAAGACCCAGCTTCCATGTCTGAAGTCATTCACCATTGAGAATAATATAATGCTACGGGAAAATATCCAAATGTCCATAGAGCGACGCCAGCAAGCGAGCAGCAAGATAGGACGTGTAATCCGTTGTGAAAGCTGCAGCGCACAAAGACATGTTTTTGCGGCGAAAAATGCACATCGGAGCAATTCAGATTCACATTGTTTAACAGAACAGATTTCGCAGTCGTTGCACCGCTTGCTACAGTACCCAATGACCATCAGGTGTGAGAAATGACATATTGGGTCACCAAATCCTCGACACTTTTTTCAATGACGAAAGCTAATAAACTTATAGATGTATTGATTAAAGTTCTGTTGGGAAGGCACGGTGCGCATATAAAATGGCAAGTACGACTGCTTGTGGAAGGACACTCAGACCAAAACTTGACGACAACGCGCATTTTTAGATGTCTGCCTTGTGGGACAAAGCCTATGAAAAACTTGAAAATTTCTAGCTAAGACATAGATCGTCATCTACAGTGCAACTACAGCAATTTTAAGAGGCAGCCAAGAAACGCGGAAGTGATTTCTAAAAATAACCTCAGAGCGTAGGAAAACTTCTGAAGTGAATGCATGCCGAAACTATAATCATCTTAACTAACTTGGAGCGACCCATGTGGGTCACATTGCCCCACGTACCAGTCATTGCATGACCCAGTATGGGTCATGTTGTCGTCATTGTGCTAACAAGAATTGCCGCTGGCATTCGAAAAAAGATGTTGCGTTCAGTGAAGCTCATTTTTGTGCAAACCCTGCACCTCGTACTTTTTCTCGAGACTCGCCTACGCAGTGAATAACCGCAGCGCTTCTCCTTCTTGTAAAGCATCCTTCCCGTAGCTCTCCCTTCTGTGGCTTGTCGCAATGTATTGCCTGTTCCTTTCAGCTTAAATTTTCATATAGCGTTAGCGGTTTTTTCCGTGAAAGTATTTGAGACGGCTCCTTTTCACTCTAGCCTCAAAATATGAGTTCTTCCGATTTTCTTAGCCAAAATGCTATGCTACAAGTTTTTAAACCTAAAACATCACATTCAAGTTATTCATTCTTTGTTCGTCATATAAGGAGCTATCGCTAATAACGATTTCAATCTTGATGCTCATGCTGCCATACTATGAACGCTATTCCATATTCGGACCCCAAAATGTCAAAGTCTTGGATGCTGTTCAAACTTCGTCTAGTAGGTGGGTTGTCAATTCTGCGCGGTAGCGCCATCTTTTGAGGCTGCTGTGGGTATATGGTCGGGAGGTCAGATCGCGGACTTCGCTGAATCTCAGTCTAGGGATTCCTGTTTGGCATGCTGATCACGAATATCATACTTTTTCTGCAAAAAGGTTTTTTCGTGAAGTTATTGTAGGTTTACGGTAGGGGGACAAAGTCTTAAGTTTGGCTGCGGTTTGATTTAAAAGGTATTGTACATGTTGGTCGCAGGCATCATATTTCGTTGCGTTTTGGGACCTTTTCAAGGAGTCACTGTAGTGTATGGCAGTGGTCAAAAAATAGACCTGCCTGAAAATTAGTGCCAGATCATCAGGCTTGCTGATCACGAAAATCTTGCTCATTTTGCATGATAAAGCCATTTCATTTTTGTGATGTGACGAAAGAATGCCTACCTATATGCCGCAAATTACCGTAACTCCACAATAACGCGTTGATGCAGCAAGCAAGCATAGTATCCCTAATCAGCATGCTTGAAACTTTCTAGGAAAAGTTTTGTGCAAATTTGAAAGTGCAATCATTCACCTTACATGCATCGTAGTAAGAAAATGGCGCTACAGAAGCTGTATGATATTCATGTTCAGCGGGCTTACTCCCTAGGCGAACTTTAGCAAATTCGTAGTTCCACCCCATACCGTATAACCACCGCAATTCCATGAAAGAGCTCTAAAATGCAGAAAGAATATGATGTTTGTGATCAGCACGTCAGAAAACCCCAAAGTTTAACCGATACCGATTTTGACCCTTACCTATACCCAACGTAGCCCTACCAAATGTCGTTTTTGAGAAGAAAAAAAGGGGTGGAGGAACGAACACCTCAATTAGGCACCGCCTCCGCGGACTATTGGTCCCAACACTATGCATAACAGTAGGACGAAAGGACCAGCAGTCCGCGGAGGTGGTATCTAATTGAGGTGTTCGTTCCTCCACCCGAAAAAAAGCATGGACCGAGTTTCAGCGAAACACGACTTTGATTTTCGGCGCCGAATACTGAAATAGTGCCGTTAGCATTTCCAGTCTAAGTACATAGTTTTTATTCTTCAGAATTTTTAAATCAAGCCCGAATCTCCTCTTTTTCTGAAAGTCCTTTTCTCCCTTCATTCGAAGCAGCTAAGCTGCACCACAGAAGTCACAAATGGAGAATGCGCATAGCTATCGCTTTGCCGCGTAGTTCGCGTTCATGTGGTAGATGCACAAGTCGGGGATCTAGTAATGTGGAACAAAAGTCAGAGCACGAAATCATAATGATATATCATGATTACAACGAAAGTGCATACCCAGCAGAATGCTGAATGAGTGTTACTCAAATGTTTTCCACCGAACATAAGGTATTTGACAAATTTGGACTTTCAAAATCATTGCATATATGAAAAGAAGATGCTTCATGCCGCCACGATGTAGGGCGTTTCGCACGACCATAATGCTTTTCACACAAACATTCCGCGCGCGACACACCCTGCGCAGCTTTTGCCTAAGCAAAAAGGGGGAGGAAAGATTTGCGGCGTGGTAGCGTGTTGGACAAGTGAAAATGAGGGCGACGGTGAAAACCTCCGTGTGACCGTTTCTCCACGCGCCACATTTTGCGGCGCTTGTGATCTACGCGAATAAAGAGGAAGAACAATCTGGCCTTGAAAGCAGATTGACCTTTCATATTTTTGAAAGAAAAAATACAGACATCATTCTACAAACAGGACGACGGCCGTAGGAGCTGCTTGCATGCTTTTGTACGTAACTGTATAAAAATTTCAATGCATATATGAAAAGAAGATGCTTCTTGCCGCGCGCCACGATGTAGGGCGATTCGCACGCCCTACTCGTGGCGACCAAGGCAGTGTCCCGGCAGATTCGCGCCCTGGGTGATATCGCTGCGGTGGGGTTCTGGCCACCCCCACTTACCTCTAGGCCTCTTCTCTTGCTTATTCGACGCGGGACCCCACTACCACTCTTTGCATTGTGCATGCTATTTCAAAGCAAAATTACAGGCAGGGTTTTTTTGCCGGGGCCTCCCAAATTTCCGTTGAAATTCTCCCGAGCCGCTTTTTGGAAACTGAGGAAACTCCCCCAAAACGGTCTTTTCACCCGGTTTTAAGCTCAGATTCTGGTTCTACGAGTCGAAAAGGCTAAACTTGCAGAAAGGTGGAAACGCAAAATCTGACGGGACACTGCCTATAATGCTTTCCACACAAGCATTCCGCGCGCGACACACCCTGCGCGGCTTTTGCCTAAGCAAAAAGGGGGAGGAAAGATTTGCGGCGTGGTAGCGTGTTGGACAAGTGAAAATCAGGGCGACGGTGAAAACCCTCGTGTGAAAGGACCGTTTCTCCACGCGCCACATTTTGCGGCGCTTGTGGTCCAAGCGAATAAAGAGGAAGAACAATCTGGCCTTGAAAGCAGATTGACCTTTCATATTTTTGAAAGCAATAATACAAACATCATTCTACAAACAGGATGACGGCCGTGGGAGCTGTTTGCATGCTTTTGTACGTAACTGTATAAAAATTTCAATTATATGAAAAGATGCTTCTTGCCGCGCGCCACGATGTAGGGCGTTTCGCACAACCATAATGCTTTCCACACAAACATTCCGCGCGCGACACACCCTGCGCGGCTTTTGCCTAAGCAAAAGGGGAAAGGAAAGATTTGCGGCGTGGTAGCGTGTTGGACAAGTGAAAATCGGAGCGACGCTGAAAACGCCCATGCGGAAGGACCGTTTCTCCACGCGCCACATTTTGCGGCGCTTGTGGCCTAAGCGAATGAAGAGGAAGGCAATCTGGCCTACTCCCTATTATCAGCTATTCTCTAACGAAGGCGGCTGCTAATGAAAGCGAGCCGTGTGCGGGCGTACGTGCTTAATCATGAAAAGCGGTCAAACTCCCGTCCGCATCTGCTTCACAAAGCAACAGCCATCGTTAGGGACCAGCTTTCACATCACATCATGAGCACTGCTTTATCGCGCTTGTTGTTCGCAATTTTTAACATCATGGAGACGATTGGATAAGTTTGCCTTGGTTTTTCAAGATGCAAGCGAGAAAGGAAGCAAAGTCTACTGCCAAGGCGCTCATGGTCCGAACCATCTTCCTGATTTCTCTTCCCCCTCCCCTCACCCTATCAATAGTGGTAATATACGATAAGTTGAGTGTAATTACTATAGTCCAGTGAAAATAGGACTGGATGTTAGATTTTGTAGTCCTAGTGGGAGTATCTAGTGTTCTTGCTGCGGTCTTCCCCCTAACCAATTTTAAATATGTTATCCCCTATTGCATATCAAAACGTCCATAACTTCCTTCTCAAAACAGTTGTGCAGATATAATAGGCAGGTTCGAAATCATTTCAACTTCTTCGTAGAGATATGTTTGTGGTGATCTGCCACTTCGACTCCTCGAGCCTTTCTTGTGAGACCATTTCGCCAGTCGTCCCCAGCCCTATTTCCATTTTTCTATTAAGCAAAAAGCTAACGAAGGATAATTTGGCTTGACATTACCTCATCAACACTACCTTAAAGCTCAAGACTTCATTACAGAAAAACTATACTTTTTTTGAATGCAGACAACAAAAGAGACCAGAAGTTTCTGATTGTATAGTTTTATTAGTTGTGACAAAAATAAGGAGTAGAACGTATTGGCAGCTACTTATAGCCATAAAGCATCATACTCATACTGCCGTAAGTATTACAAGCATTGAAGTAGACACTGACTAAATGCACATGATTAACACGAGATTGATGTCCATGTTACAATAGAAAGTCGAAACAGTCGAGGACTCCCTCATCAACACCAAGAACACTTCTCCATTGTGTTAGAATGAATTCGGCTGCGGCACATTCGTCACGAAAAATCCCTTCTTTCTCTGATTCTGCCTTCACCATTTCCAAGACATCGTATCATAAGATAAGCCAGCTACAAGCTCTGCTTTGGGTGATCGAATAGCAAGCACAATTGTTGGTAGGAAACCAATGAGCGCGGTCTGAAATTATGGCAGTTTGAAAGAATTTGACAAAAAGATTGAACAAATGTTCACAATAGATTCTCAGCTTTTTCATGCCACAAAACGAGACAGGAGGTTGAGCAGAGTCCTTTAGCTGCCAATTCAGCAAAACCACTTTCTCTTTTGCAGATCTTTTGCATTTCCTAGCATTTCCTATCGCTAAGAAGTGTGAAATTCGGACATGATAAACTTGGTTTCGAAAGTGAAAGAAGACAGCTTTTTTATACTCATAACAAAGTAATGTTCCCTGTCAGTCTATGCTAGAAATTAGAAACTGCCAAAATTCCAACCATCGCGTTTTTCACCTTGAGCGCTTCAACTCCACGGACTGAGCCGAAACAAGTCGAGGTATTTTGTAGCAATTCACTTATTGTGCCTGTGCGAATTCGCGCATGATACGAAGTCACATTCCAATATGATATCTGTTCGAAACACAATAGTAGATATTGGAGAGTGAGATCTTTTTTGGCAAAGGGAAAAAAGTACTAGCCGCAAGCCAGTATAATCCTTCTAAGCAAAATTTTGCCTTTTTCACATCCTCTTCCCTATTTCCTGTTAACATCGCAGAGTAAATCAAAGACTCGCACACTCAAAAGAATGCAGTCAACTCCACTAAAACAAAAGTCAAAAATTGAAACACTTTGGAATGCCATAAAAAAGAAATTAGGCAGAACTTGCTCCATTCACTTGCCTTTTGTACTGATAAGAACCATAATGATGAAGCAAAATCATCAAAAAAAAAGTACAAAAAAATGTTCTTCACAAGCTTACTTTGAACTCAAGCGCTGAACAATCCACATATAAAATCCGCGCACCAGATGATTCCATGATGGATTATTGATAGAGAATGTCTTCACTGATTCAGCGCATCGTTGCACTATAATGAAAAAGGCATTTGTGACCTCATTACTTTCCAAGAATTTGGATGCAAATGGTAAAACAAGCTGGATAACGATGGAACCAGACGATGTGTAACATCTCCTTCCAAGAAGTACAGTCGAATCATTTCATATTATCATGTGTGTCATTGCACACACTGTCCAGCTTTGGCGTTCCCATCCTGATTTCTTGGAGCAGACAACTCTTCCGGTGAGCGTCTCCGATGTGTTCTTAATGTTTTTTCTCCTTTTTAGTTACTATTCACTTTAAAATGAAGTAAGCGATTGCAATTGATTAGTCTCTTACGGTTTTACGATTGCGAATCCAGGATGAAGACGCCAAAGATGGACGGTGTGTGCGATGCACACATAATCATATGAAATGATTCGACTGTAAGTAGCTCTTGGCTCCGACCAATGAATGAAGAGATATTGAAGAAAATGCATCAAACTATGGGAACAAATTTTGAAGTGACAAACCGAAAGAAGAAAAAACTCATCAGAATATACAAACTACTTCAACTTTTACAAAAAAGCTTACTTGTAGTGATTCTTGACAGCTTGCGAGTCGTTAACCTTTGGCCGTGGTGCGGTATTTGCCAACTCTGCCAATTCCAATTTGCCAATGTGAGCACATCATCGCAAGAAAAACTGGAAAATACTAAATCAATGAAATGCATTACCTCCAAATTTTTACAAGAACAAGAAACACACCAATAATAATTTTTGAGATCAATACCCGCTGCATTAAAAGCTTTATGAAGATCCTCTTCATGCCACATACGCATGTTTTAGCTTTTCAAAAGTACTATCAGGACGTAAATATCATGTTTCTTTCTTATTTCAGTAACTCACTTCCCTATTTCATGATGAATCTTATGTCGTCTGAATTATTTTTCAAAGCGAATACAGCAACAGAGATTTGATTCAGCAATGATAACCTTTTTGCAAGATAGGCCATCTCCTGACACAGTATACTTTAGCGAGACTTCGTGCAACGTATTGGCCTTATTTTCTGGAAGCGGTTGTGAGTATCCGGATAAAAAAACCCATTTCTATTGTGTTGTACTCACATTGCACAAAAGTTATGCAAAAGAAGTTCAATTCATGACAATCTGTTACATATAGATGTGACATTCAGCTTTTGTGATCATGTTCTCAATAGCAAACTGAAAAATGGTTCCGTTGTTTCAAAATGGCCCTACTATATCACGTATAAGAACTTCGAAAAGAACACAAGAGAAAAAAGAAGCAAAGGCGTGCTCACGCGTCAGCTGCTACATAAAATCAGTTTTTTTTTTGAATTAACAAGTCATACGGCATCAACGTAAAATGAACACTTACAAGTTCATAAGTTCCATTAGTGATATTGAAGCGACGAAAAATCAACGATAACCTTTTTGCAAGATAGGCCATCTCCTGACACAGTATACTTTAGCGAGACTTCGTGCAATGTATTGGCCTTATTTTCTGGAAGCGGTTGTAAGTATCCGGATAAAAAAACCCATTTCTATTGTGTTGTACTCACATTGCACAAAAGTTATGCAAAAGAAGTTCAATTCATGACAATCTGTTACATATAGATGTGACATTCAGCTTTTGTGATCATGTTCTCAATAGCAAACTGAAAAATGGTTCCGTTGTTTCAAAATGGCCCTACTATATCACGTATAAGAACTTCGCAAAGAACACAAGAGAAAAAAGAAGCAAAGGCGTGCTCACGCGTCAGCTGCTACATAAAATCAGTTTTTTTTGAATTAACAAGTCATACGGCATCAACGTAAAATGAACACTTACAAGTTCATAAGTTCCATTAGTGATATTGAAGCGACGAAAAATCAACAATGGTACACATGACATTTCTTCCGGACAAACTTGAGAGCTTAGCTTCACGGCGGTACAGCCTGCAGCTGTAGGCTGAGAAACTAAGTTGCAAGAGAAAAGTACTTCGCAAAGCAATTATTATTCTTGAAATTCGCTTCGAAAAACAACACCAATTACATAAGAACTCATCATATCTAGCAATTTGGGAGTTTCATAGAGGATAGAGGTTCTGAAATTTGAAGGAAACATGATATTTTCATTTTGCTAGTACATCTGAAAAAAAGGCTAAAACAAAGCCTTTCAAAAAGATTTAGGCTCTGTTCGTTTGGAGCATCTTATTTTTCGGCCGATGGACGTTGGCTAAATACTGTACGTACGGTATATGCCCAACTTCCATCGGCTGCGAGATAACGTGCTACAAACAAATAGAGCCCTAATCTTGTTTAGAGTCCTTATTTTCAACGTTTTTTTTCAAACACACTACCATAAAGAAACTACAAAATTTCTTAATAGTTACAGTGTAGACTTTGGTAGCTCATTACTAACACTTGCGCTAGCTTCACAGTCTAGATTCAAGAATACTGCAGCACGGAAGTTGACATTGTGACTAATTTGGATACGTTTTGATGAATGCCTGTGATCATGTTCTTAGTAAACCATACTGTGAAAAATGTTTTGATCACTACAGAAATGGCGAGGACATCTATGCGATGGAGAACAGAAAATCTTTGAGGATAACAAAAAGAGAAAGAAGCACATGCTTACTAAACTGTAAGGCATGCGTCAGCTGTTGGATCAAATTCATCCCAAATCGAAACAAATAATGCAATTCTGAGGCAAAAACGCTTCTCCTCAAAATTCCACAAGCGGTGGCGAAACACCCTCGCTGAAGATATTGAGAACGACAAAAAAATCAACAGTAGTGAACGAAGTCGTTTGTTTTGGAATCAACATGCCGATTTTTTTGGACAAATCAGTGACTTCGGCTTTGCTTATGCTTTATCTGAGAAGAAGAAGATAATAGAAAAGAGGGAATTGAATGAAAAGATACGTCTATGTGACTAACTTACCTAACTATGCAAGAAAGGAGTTAGTTCGCAATTAGTTCATCTTAATTCCGCATAAAAAATAGTGACACGAGAATCAACTAAAGAAAGCAATTTTGAAGTTTCTAGACGGAAGAGAGATGCTGCACCTGGAAAAAATTTGAGATTTCACTCTTGATAGTGTGTCTAAAGGAAATACATACATCGAAAATAAGGTAGCTTGTATATATATATATATATATATATATATATATATATATATATAAGAGAAAGCCGACGAATAAGAGAAAGCCGACGAAAGCGATAAAACGAGTTGCAAATTTCAAACTGACGTAACTGACCAACCCAAAAATTTAGGCCAATTTCATTTTGGATTACGGTATTCGGGTCACGCAGCGAAAAACACGGGCGCCCCAAAAGATTCACTTTTCGCTTACCATTCTTTTAATATAGAGGATTTCGCAGTCGTTGCACCGCTTGCTACAGTACCCCCTATAGCGCCCAACAGGTTGTTCGTGGCGGGACCGCGTTCAAGTCACTGGTTTCGCAGCCGAGTTAATCACATCGTCCCTGATTGAAGTTGCATTTGCGTAGTTATGGCTAAGAGTTGACCCTGTGGTTTACTCAACAAAGCAAGGATCAATACTTAGGGAAAATACGCATTTCGACCCCACTTTGCATTTCACCGTAATTGCCCTTAGCTCAACTGACTACTGAAAATTAGTGTCTTTTCCCATCAAGTGTGGATTAGATCAGTCCAGGGTTTCGATGTATCATACATAGAAACTGAACAGACCTATTTAGGTGGGTGATACTTCTGGAAATCGAAAGAAATAGCTGTTATTCTGTTTATTTTCTATTTGAAGCATCTTACGGAAACTGGTGCTGGTAAAAGCCAAGAATGAATGTCGCACTAAGGATGTTCGGAGTTTTGCCCTTCTTGATGAGTTGTTGAGCTGTATAACATCACCTGGATAGGTGTTGAAAGCTATATCTTATCATATAACCTAGTATAGCTTACCTATTGTCTTGTTCAAGGAAGAGTGACGACATGAGTTTGGATCTTACACCGTGTATAACTTTGAGAACTCAAGATAGTGTGACAATTTAACTATTGCTGAGGTGTTTCCATCCATTGACCCTGAGCTCATGCTAACGTACAGTCTAACGCAACAGCTTTAGGAACTGTATGCGTTCGTAGCAAAGCGAAAGCCGCTATTTGCTGACAGGACCATCGCGCACTCGCGAACTTCAAAAAGAACCTGCGATGCTATCTGCGCACATGATCACTGTCATTCTGCAGCTTTTTCTCTTCGCATTTTGTCACTATTTGTACGTAAGGCTGCATCGAAGGGAAACTATAATTCGTTCGGATTGCGGCGCTGACTTAACTTACAGTAAACGTAATGCGACCACAAAATGTGTCCCTTCTTACTTTCTTTAATCTTACTAATTGCATAAAGTGGTCTTGGAATTGATATGATGTGTTGCTGATCCTCTGGATCGTAGATAACACATCGACTCAAGTTACACTCACTGACTAGTAGCCGGTAGGTAGTACACTGACTAGCTAGCATCGCCACTGTTAGAGCTTATGATAGGATTTCTCTGAGGAACTGAAGTGAATGAAGGTGAGAAATATCAATAATCATATTTACGTCTCATTACAATTGAGGGGACTGAAACAAAAAAAAACAGCATTCGCCATGTAGATGGCGAAAACTCAGACTAGAAGAATGGGGTGACCGGGAATATAAGTCTTGGGGAACCTTCATTGAAACATTGATACGCTCGTTATCCTAGTAGAAAAACCTTGAAAGAGAGAAAGAACGATGATCCAGGGCTGAAAGTAAGAGAAAAAAAACAAAGCAACTACGAATATGCCAATTTAGACAACGGTTCTGAAAGCAATAGACTCAGAATCTGCGTATGACACATCACCTGTGCTAGGTGCGAAAAAAACTGCTCATCTTTTGATGTCCTTGTAGTTCTTGTACTCCCAAAACCTCGGACAAGAACTGCTTCTGCATTAGGTTCATCTTGGAGTTCGCAGGTACGCTGGTCCCGCCACGAACACCCTGTTGGGCGCGCTAGGGGGTACTGTGGCAAACGGTGCAATGACTGCGAAATCTGTTCTGTCATTGACAGTGTTTATATTCCTTCGAGATGGACAATGTCGCCTCTTTTCTATAGTTAGAACCGAATATTCGTGTTCGAATAATTTATTCGAAATGTTCGACTATTCGAATATTCGAACAGTCGAGTATTCAAAACAGTCCAATTATTCGATTATTCGAATAGTCGAATAAATTAAAAACGCCTGTATTCGAATAATTCGTTCATTCGATGATTTGAAAAAATGAGTTATTCGAATATTCGTTTATTCGAGGAATTTTAAAAGACGGTTGTTCGAATATTCGAATATTCGAGCCAACTTGAAAGACAGTCATTCGAATATTCGAATATTTGAGAGCATTCATTCGAACATTCGATGTCAAAAGAAAACTTTAGCTGTTCTACACTGAGTAAAAGTATGTCCCCGATCGGTCAATCACACAAATGAATTATCAAATGACAGAATGGCTAGCAAGCTTCCCCTTTTAAGGCATGAGTCACGAGTCATGCCAAAGCGTAGTAATGACAAGCCTTTACATAATTCGTTTGGAGTGATGAATTATCTTCTGGAAATCGCATCTGAGAAGTTGAGACGCGTAATTACTCGCGGATACCTCGAAGCTCTAAATTGGGTGAAGAAGCAAAGCCATCATTAGGCGCCCAACGCACCACTGGTCCTCAAACAGCTTGCATAAGCATGTGAAGGACCAGCAGTCCTTTAAGGCAGCAGGTATAAGCAACAATCATTCCCTCATCTCGAGGTCTTCATTTGCCTTGCCAGCCTAATCACCGCTCGCGTGTCGGAATACCTTAAAGATACGTTACAACGCAAGGCCAGAGCAAGGCGGTCGTGAGACCTGAGCCGCTTGACTTGTGGCGGCGGCCTATATGTCAGTCATTGTAATCAAATCAAAGAGGCTTAGAAAACTAATGTTAGAATTGCACGCCTACATGAACTACGCGTGTAGGCGCCCACTCGAAGCATTATTCCTCTAATAATACTCCGAGCAGGCGTGTAGGGTGAACAGTAATATTTTGAACCTGAGTAAAAAATATGGAAAATCCCTTACAACAAAAGTACAAACCTCAAAAATACAAATAAAACAAATTTGTGAGAATTCAATCCTACAACAGAAACTGTGAAACTCGGGGATTGATATTTCCCGACAAGTATTAGATTATCAGCTAATATACAGATATTTCCACGATTTTCTTTTTCTGGATTTAGATGAGCATAGAAGTATTGGATTATCCTGGAAGTTTTGTCCGTTTTTTTTCATCGCTCACTAGAACTCACAGAACACCGATCCATGATCAACTTAGGTACGATTTGATACAGATTTTTATCTTCTTATAGCTGTATTTGCTCTCTGATCTACTCTGTCTTTGCAATGTTATCGCCACGGCTTCCTGAGCAGCTTAGAAGTAACGCCAAATTTTTACTGAGTTCTAAAAATTTTTATTGATGTTTTCAAAGAGCGCTGATGAATGTTCATGTAGAGCAAGCCTTTAGCTACATTGTAATCATTTTAGATTACATGGGCCATGTTTACCAAGCACGTTATAATTATTTGTTTGATAGAAACTGCGCCATTTTGATTACGTTTACCACGTAAAAGTACCAAATTCCAAAAAGCTCCTTTCAAAGCAAGTCAAACTTGCTTATGTAGCGTAAATAATGTTTGATAAGAATCATTTTTCAATTCGCAAAAGTTTCAAAAGCTTTCGTGTATTTGCTGCAGTTGCGTGTTTCATGACTTTGCCAGAAATCGAGACTTCCGAAGATATAATGTTTTTGAAGCTAAAAACAACAAATTAAGAGAATCTAAAATATTACCCTGTATTCCGAGAATTGCTCTGTTTGATCCATATTAGTCCTTTCCGGAACTTTGAGATGAAATTCAAAAAAAGTAACCTAACTTTGAGCAGATAAAATTGACGGATGGAGAATTTTGACAATTATCAAAGAAAGCATACAAGATTGTAGTTCAAAAATGTATTCTTAAAAAAGAGCAGGGAAAGCTGCGTCTAATGCTGAAACTCATTCAGGTCTTTGTTGTGCGTGGTTTGACATTAATTTGAAAAAACGGACAAAACTTTCGGTACAACAGCAGAGGTTCATATATTCTATTACTGTAGGCCTTCCTCGTGCTCCTCCAGTGCTAGTCTTAGAACTAGCGCAATGCTGACCATTACGATTAAATTACAAAGAACTACCTAATCTAAAATGTTTTCCATGTTAAATCTTCAGCTTTGGGAAAAAGTTCTGTGTAGCTTCGGGAGAAACTTCCAGGAAAAATAAACGCGGAATTGAAACGATTACTAAGTAAGTCTTAGTTCCCATCTTAAAAGGCCATAAACACCTCGAACTACATGTTTCAGTGAAGTTCTTCTGCTTCCTAAGAGGAACCCTAACCAACGGCAATAACCAGTCTTCCTACCACTTGCTACACATATAATTAGTATAATTAATTAATAATTAATAATTATAATTATTATTATTTATTAATTATTATTATTATCATAATTATTACTTACATATAATTATATAATTATTATCAGCTACAAAGATCAAATTAGCGATTAATTTTTTTGCAGAAAATCGCAACAAAGAAAAAAAAAACAGCATTGTTTGAGGTGTTAGATTATTCGAATTATTCGAATAGTCGAATATTCGACCATATGTAATTATTCGATTCTTCGAATAGTCGAATATTCGACCATATGTAATTATTCGATTCTTCGAATAGTCGAATGTTCGACCAACCCCATTTATTCGAATATTCGTTCATTCGAATTTTGAAATGTAGCATTATTCGAATATTCGAATTCGAATAATCTGAAAATTACAGATCGAATAATATTCGTTCGTTCGAATATTTTTCAAACACCGATTATTCGAAATTCATTCGTTCGACGAAATTTTTCGTCCGTTCTAAGTATACTCTTTTCTCAGAGGAAATTACTTATGGGTTGTTGCCATAAAACGGCATCAACCTGATGTTACGAAACATCTAGGTACACAAAGGCTACTGCATGCTCAGGAACTCGCGCCGTGCGGGCGGCAGCGACGACCTTACAAACATTCGTTGGTACGTGCGACTGTACGGTCGTCAAAGGCCGGTGGTGGTTTAAAGCGCCCGCACGGTTCCTAATACTCGCCGCTCGCGCGGGGAAGGTCGGCCGCTCGCTTGCAGTTGGGGTGATTTTGTATGGGATTCCTCGGCCATTTTTCTCGGATACGTTAATCCTGTTCACGTCTTGAGAACGGGGATCGATGCCTGCTTCATTGACCAAACTTCTCACAGGGAAGCCCCAAACCATCACTTTTGATAACAGTAACTTCACACAGGTTCATTCCAGCCTTGCTATTGGAAGGAAAACGGAGTAGCAGCACATGTTATATTTAAGGCAGCCTAAACGCTGCGTCGTATCTCGCGCAGGTACATACTCTCCCAATGTGTGGAAACTGCGAGAAGAAGATAGAGGTCACTGTTGGCCGCTTATACGACAACGGCTAATACCGGCCGATAAAACGGACACATTGCTTGCCGCTCGCTCGAGCAAATGTATTGCCGGCCGCTTGCGCGGTAACATTGTCTGCCGCTTACAATTAGACGGCGCTTCAGTTGTTTGCCGCACGCCGGAAGTTTTAAGGCTATGCCGACCGCTTGTACAGTCGGTTTCAACCCGGATTAGGCGAGATACCCTACGTGGAGCAGCGCATGCGCATCGCTGGAGGCTTCGCGAGCGCATAGCGCTGGCATTTTGCCAAGCAAAGACTAAGGAAATTGAAGAGACGCAGACATGGGTTCTCAGCGCGATAGGATATACTGTAGCTGCGAAACGGCGCGAGCTGTTGCGAGGCGGACTCCCGCCAATCCAATTTCCGCCTAAAGCGGGCCGAAACTTACTGTACGCTAGCTCATATAGGAAGACCGCTCGCACGCGCGAATCCCTGAGTGACGAAGGCACAGAAGCAGTATTAGTTGAGCGGGCGCGAACGCGACGCACGCGTATCCTCACCGTTGCAGATCCTGCGCCTTATGCGCTCTGCTGCAATGACCGCGTTGGCGCCCAGAGATATTGTGCCTTCGTCATGCAGCAGCCGCGGAAGGCGACAATCTCCAAAACTTGTGCCTTTCAAAACTCTTCTGCTAAAGTGACATGGCGCTAGAGGGTGGGGGGGGGGGGGGGTGGGGGCAGATACACGACTCGATGCCAGAAGGAAAATCTTGTAAAAAGTTGTAAGAGCGACTTTACACTGCTTGCATTTTCCGAGCATTGTCGCCTTCCGCGTGCCCCCGCCTATATATGTATCTGATTTTTTCGGATTTTTACTTGAAGTGTTCTTCTACAGACAGTCCTTGTACCGCACTCACTTCACTGACTGATGTGACTCGTGGAACTCAGCAACTAGACGCCTAGATAAAACTCTGCTTTAAACTTTCTTTCACAGGAGAAGAGGATTACATTGGATGCACAGTTAAGAGCCGCTGACTTTGAAGACAGTGGCTCGGCAAATCTTCAACGTGAAGTTTGCTCGCTTACGTGGGGTAATTCGACGCGCTGGTTTCGAAAATACAATTCGAAGAGCACGAAAATGTCGAAAACAGTGTTTCTGTCTTGTTTGCGATTGCATTCAACAAAGGAAGCTGCCAGCTGGCAGCCTTCCGAACACTTTCGGTTTTGGCTCCTCCCTTTTGGAGAGTCAGTTGTGACTGAGTTGAAAGCCGGGAAACCCGGCGTTTTCCGTGGTGTTCGTTGAATTGTTTGTACAGTTTGCCGGAGAACCCGGCTCGGAAATAAGGAAATTGATCCATCCTTGTTTAACAGAAGCACGGTAAAACAAAAATCCACTGGATCCCAGCACAATATGTCTTCCTAAGTGAAGTAAGAATTCTCTCCACTTTTTTCGTTCTAAACTCATAAAATCAATAAAAAGTTTGAACGCACCGTTCTTGAACATTCGACTTCTTCAAGGGTTCGCTCAACATTACTCTCATTAGAAAAAAGAAATCACGCAGTACTCTGGTTAGCACCTTGAATGCTCATCAATACGTACAGATACGAGATAATAATGGCAGGAATTCACTTAAGCTTTGCTCATTTCAGATATGACCAAAACTTGAAACGACGCAATGAATTCCAAAGCTGTGTTATAACCTTCTTCCATAACTCGGCAAATTTTGGGCTGATCGAGCGTTTTTGTAAAAGATGCGAATTGCTTACCTTGACTGTTTTGCCATTTTTCTCAAAAATCCGATTTTGGATGAACTTCGATCAGCACAGAATTTGCTCATAAAGAACAGACAAAAAACCAGTAATGAGGATTTCGGCTTTTTCTGCTTTTACAGGTTCTTGACAACCTACTTATCTTGGATCGAAGCTTGATTCATCGTTCTTTCCATTTCTATGGCCGCAATCTTATATATAAAGCTGAATGTCTGTTTGTCTGTATGTCTGTCTGTATGTATGTGTGTACGTATGTTCCGAATAGAAAATTCCATTTCTGAACCGATCCGGACCAAACTTGGCACACATACACTACGGGCCCCGGCGGGTGTCATAGGCTACTTTTCGTCATCGATCGATATCGATTTTATCGATTTTTATCGATTTTTTTGCTGAGTTCACCTACGGGGCTGGGAGTTGGCACAGGGGGGTAATCGAGCATGGGGATTCCGAATACAATATTGGTTTTCAGGATTATCGATTACTTTTATCGATTTTATCGATTTTTTTGCAAAGTTTGAGCTACGGGGCTGGGAGTTGGCACAGGGGGGTAATCGAGCATGGGGATTCCGGATACAATATTGGTTTTCAGGATTATCGATTACTTTTATCGATTTTATCGATTTTTTTGCAAAGTTTGAGCTACGGGGCTGGGAGTTCGCACAGGGGGGTAATCGAGCATGGGGATTCCGAATACAATATTGGTTTTCAGGATTATCGATTACTTTTATCGATTTTATCGATTTTTTTGCAAAGTTTGAGCTAGGGGGCTGGGAGTTGGCACAGGGGGGTAATCGAGCATGCTGATCATCCCCAAGGGGGGTGATCAGCATGCTCGAACACCCCTGTGCCAAATTCCAGCCCCCTAGCTCAAATTTTCAAAAAATCGATAAAATCGATAAAAGTAATGGACGATCTTGAAAACTAATATTGTATTCGTAATCTGCATGCTCGATTACCCTCTGTGCAAACTCCCAGCCCCGCAGGTCAAACTTTGCAAAAAGATCGATAAAATCGATAAAAGTAATGGACGATCCTGAAAACTAATATTGTATTCGGAATCCCCATGCTCACTTCCCCCCTGTGCCAACTCCTAGCCCTGTAGGTGAACTCTGCCAAAAAATCGATAAAATCAATAAAAGCAATCGATAATTCTGAAAACTAATATTGTATTCGGAATCCCCATGCTCACTTCCCCCCTGTGCCAACTCCTAGCCCTGAAGGTGAACTCTGCCAAAAAATCGATAAAAATCGGTAAAATCGACATCGATCGATAACGAAAAGTGGACTGTGACACCCGCCGGGGCCCGAAGTGTATGTGTGCCAAGTTTGGTCCGGATACGGCGGAGCCGGGTAAGCCAGCTAGTCTTATATATAAAGCTGAATGTCAGTCTGTCTGTATGTCTGTATGTCTGTACGTATGTGCGGAATAGAAATTTTTATTTCTGAACCGATTTGGACCAAACTTGGCACACATATACTCCGGGGCAGGGAGCGTGTCATAGGCTACTTTTCGTTATCGATCGATATCGATTTTATCGATTTTTTGCAAAATTTGAGCTACAAGGCTGGGAGTTGGCACAGGGGGGTAATCGAACATGCTGATTACAAATATACTATTGACAGGCCCGGGCGGAGCCGGGTATGCCAACTAATTAGACCATAAGAGAAAACTACCACGACATTAAAGAACTAGGTTTTTCCTTCGTTTTCTAATGATGATACCAACAAGCTTTCGTAGAATTTGATACTATGGCCATTCTATGTTGAAGTAAAGTAATGTAAGGTACAACAACAGATCACATAAATGAATGCAAACCATGATGGTTTTTTCTCAAATCATTACCAATCAAGATCTATAATCCGCATCTATCACTATCATCTATTTGTGCGGGCAGGAAGCTGGATTCTAACGACAGTCCCAACATTCGAGATGTATGTGCAACAGATTTCTCTCTCTCTCTCTAGAATCCTGCATTCTATGTCCGAGGTACCGTTTTGAAGGAACCAAGATCAAATGTACAATGCAATCGTTATCGATCAATGTGCTAAATATATCTATGAATCCTAAGGATTTCTCAAAACATTTGAGAGGTTTTTACAACATCACTATCATTTTTCCGACTGCTCTGAATTTGTTTCTCCAACAGATTGCGTGATTTCCTTTGCCATTCGTTCAGATTCGATTTTCAAATCCAGGAGTTGACGTAATTGATCTTCTGCAAAGCTGTCAAGGTTTTCTGGTTCAAGATCCTAGAAAAGGAGATGTGATAACTATGTCAGATCTGTACGGAAAAAGAGATTCCTTATAAATATTTTGACGAAAAAATGCTGAGTAATATTACCTTGCCGAGAAAGCCCTTCACGATGCCCTTTTGCGAGAGTTGCTTGGCAAGAGTTATGCAGTAGTTCTAGAACTTGAGCAGATAACTAGAAAAGAAACGCAACAAATTTCATCAGTTCAACTCACAGTCCACTCATTCACGAACACCGCAGTCTGTTCGGGTGTTGCATTTTTGTGACGTCGAAATTCGTCTTTTACATATGTATCGCCCATTAGCCGTGCTGGTGGTGGGAGACCATAATGTAGCCTTGACAAATAGAAATCTTGCTGCGTCGATGAAGTTGATAAGAAATAAATAAGAAGGCATGCTAAACAACTAAAATAGGCTGAACTAACCTGAGTATCCGTTTGTACAAATAAAGGGGATATAGTTCCGGACGCGCCAACGCTTTCACAGCCTTGCGCGCAGACATACAGATGTAAGGAAAGACCTTGAACAACATACAACATTTTTTAGGTATAATACGAAAATGAAGTTCATTAAAAAAAGAAAAAGCATCAAAAGTAATCGGCCCATTCTGAAAAAAAAAATTGACAGCATGCAAAAACATTTATCTGGAATTGTACAGAAATACAAAGCAAATGCTGTATTAAACAACACATCGTTAAAGCAAGATTTTGATCAGAAAACCCAAAATTTTGGCACAGCTTTGGCATATCTCTAACGCACTCAGAAGTTGTGATTTGAGGAACTGGAAGATGTGCAAGATGGGATACGAGCGAGACAGCTGGAGTCAGTTAACATCGCGGTATGACCAACTGAAAGAAAACATGTCAGGCTGCAACAAAAATACTGAATGTAACAGACTTATATGGACCTTCGTCTACCAAACCACGCGGAAACTATTTTATATAGCCTGTGAAGCTTACGAAAATTTTATCAACGCGAAAAGCATTGCAAAAAAATCAAAACGACTGATTCAAATCGAAAAGATGAGCAGAAGTAAATACTGAATTCAGAAGGCAAACTCACCACTCTAACCACATCTTCTTTACCCTCTCGTTTCAATACTATTCGAGTCAATGGCTTCACAGAGCTTTGAACGTATGCATCTCGTCGTTCCAAAGTGCCTCCTACATTGGAAGTCAAAATACTATGAAACGTAATTACTATGGAAATCATGAACAACCAAAGAAAATGTAATAAAAAAAATCCATACCGTTCACCAGGGCTCCATTAATATGTCGTTGCTCATTCTCCAGTTTTTCCTCGCTCTTCACCTAAAACCGTAGAATTGCGAAGTGATAAAAAAAACAAGAAGATATTTTGAATCCAGAAAAAAAGTTTTGAGAATTTGTGGATCGATTATTACATACTAGAAGATACACAAACGAGTGAATGATGTTTTGCTAGTGAATCGTCAACTTTCTAGAAAAATCACACTTTCAAACTATGAACCGTAATGATGAGCAACTTGTGAAGTATAGCATTCATTTCTTGAATAGCTGATATCTAAAAAACCCGAAAAATTCCGAAGTAGCGATTCTAATAAAAGGCTAGCTTCATTTCCCCTGTTTTTTAGAAAAACGAACAGAATCTTTGCGTTTGTTTAAGCGCTAACAAAGTATGCAGATTTGACCTTAGTTGGTATATAGACAAGGACTTTGTAGAAGGCTACAAGATATTTTCCTAGTTGCTGCGTTGCTAGGTGTAAAAAGCTACAACGCTCATTCGTGAAAAAACGAAGAAACTCTGGGAGTGACCAAATTCCAAAAAAGATCTTGCCTCAATTATCTGCTTTCTTTTCGCCCAAAGAAGCATTTTTTCACTCGTACTTGAGTATTTGCAAAAGTGCTGCGCACATTCATCCGATTATTCACACAATCAAATAAGCAATAAAACTCTAGACTTTCAAAAAAAGCAATGAAACCCCAGAATTTCAAAATGATGGTGATTTCTTCGAATAAACAATTTAGGGGGAACTGCAGCGAAGAAAATCAACACAACCAGAAAAAATCTAGCAGCTGAAGCCAACACACAAACTCACCTCACACTGCTCAGCTATCGTCATTTCATCTTCAGGAGAACACTGCACTTCATCCAAAAATGTTGACGATGAACTATCTATGCTAACTGGTTGCTGCCTCCAATGTGTAGTAAAACTATCTGCACGGTACACACCAGGATAAGAAGCCTGTGAATAAGATAAAAAGTAGTCACGAGTAGATAATTTGAAAAATCCGTCAAGATCCAGGCACTATTAGGCTCTACGGCTTATAAACCTCACGAACTTTTTTTTGTAAAACTCTCAGCAAAGTATGAAGTTTAAATCAATGTTTCGAGGGTACTGGTGACACCAATCTCACGCAGAGTCAAGAATTAATGGCTACTCCCAGACGAAAGTGGCTGCCCGTGAAGCAAGGTATATGCGAGCGTAGATAGCCTATACAAGTGGTAAGCACAAGAAATAGACAACAAACGTTAACGACAGAAGACTAATTACAAGCTTCTGACTAACAAGGGAAATTCGCTGGATCGAAGTGACAATTCGGAAGGTGATAAATACCAGTGGATAGAACTACAAACGCTGTTCTCAAATATACTTCCAATATCTGCGAGGAGGGAATTATGGGCTTTTTTGTATATATTAGGTTGATTCATAATTAATGCACGTTTTCTATAATTCAATTTTCAACCAAGATAATTCTTTTTTAAAAACCATTCTGGGTGCAATAAAAACTACTGTAACCATCAAATTAGTGGCTATAAAACAGATCCTTTTGCATGACTTTATCTACTACAAAAAAGATTTTCTGGTCTGAAGATTGCCAACAACTTTTTTCAGAAGCCTCTATTTTGAGAGAGCATAACTTATGTTTAAATGAAGTAGGAAAAAGCAGACTTTGCTCATCGTATAGCCAGGGGTCTCTTGAGCAGTAATGCCAAGCTTGGATATTAGAAAAAATTCGAAAGAAACTATCGCGAAAAAGTCGAAAATACTCACTTTCTTCTGGCATCTCGGCGGGTTCAAAAATCGATCAATTTTAAAATTATTTCATTTATTTCCGAAAGTGAGAAAAGCTGCAATCGTCTTTTGCTTCAAAGTTTTATATGGCACGGAAGGGCCGCGACGGTCATTGAAGTTTGCAATCGAATTTCTCGGCTCAGAATCCATGGAAAATTTTGTTCAAATAGCGTCTTGTAGCACAAGGTTTCCTAATCCTTACGCATATTTTTTGAAATTAATCCAGCTATTCCTCATGGATTTAGGGCAAAAAGAGTGAAAAGCAAAAATTTTGAGATTTAGTCTCTTTTATTTGAAGGCCCAGAACTTTGGAATGAACGGAGGTGTACGAAAGCGAAGGGCAACATAAGAAACTAGAAGAAACGCTCTTTCAAATAGCATTAAAAGTTTTTGAGAAAACTGATTACACATCAAATACCAACTCTTGGAAGAAGAGATGAGAAAAACGTGCATTAATTATGAATCAACCTAATATGATGGAAGTGTGATCTAGAAGAGAAATGACGACCTGTGGTTAAACAACATGGTCGGAAATGCTCGAAGACGTTCAGATGAAATTAAATTAGACCTACAATGCTTACCAGGTGGTTTGTTTAAGCCTGCATACTTTGTTGTAGAAATCAGCATGTTTTGCGATTCAAAATGCACGAAAATTTGGCATTAGAAAACTTCATAACTTTTTTCAGAAAGAGCATTGCAGATATAGAAGGCATATCTAAGATCAGCGTTTCAAATCTATCCATTGGTATAAATTATCTTCCGAATTGCCACTTCGACTGAGCGAACTTACCTTGTAAGATACTTGAAAAGCTCAACTGATCTGAAATTAAAAACACAACTAACCTGAGTAATCGGGTTCATGTAGCGCAAAGGTGAGTCTATCAATCGGCATTGTTGTTCTTCGGACTGGCCTTGATGTCTTCGCGCTGCTGCCATCTGGCGGATGTAATGCTCCTTTAGTAAATGCTGCTCACGGGCCTTGCTAAATTCACATTCTTAGTTCTCAATAGCTATTTCAAGCACAAACTCCAACCTGACATGCTTTTGTATTGTTGTTCGCGGTATTTTGTAATATCTAGATGCTTCGGTGACGGTCATGTTGCCGAATATTGCTTGTTTCACGGCATCACAAAGCAAGCTACGAGTATAGTATCCCCGCCTCCTTGAACATGGTAACCGATCAGATTAAACAGAAAGCTCTAGCAGTTCAGGCTTACGCTTTATTTTCTCGAGGTGGTGGTGGAACAGTCGCTTCAAAAACGTGAAAAACCATTCAAAGTGATTGTGATGTTCTGAAGTTCTTGATCGTTGTTTATTACTGTCACAGAGGCCAAGTTTCTGCAAAAACAATTCAAGAAAATCAAAGCATGATACGTATAAGCCCTACAGTCAGTCACGAATCAACTTCCTACTCGTAGTTTCAGTACCATGAATCACTTCGTACTCGTAGTTGCCTTACAAAGCCATATCGAGGCTCCCAAAAGATGTAGAAACTGCTTATTATAGCTTTCACACAAATAACTTAGATTATTTCAAACATCAGTGTGAGGTATAAAGAGCCAAAATTTTGTGACCGTGACCTCACTGAGGAGGTATACCACTTCGGATATCAACACTTGCTATATTTAACGGAATGACCGAAAATCGTCTGTACAGTGGTTGAACGTACACTAATAACAAAGCATTTTTATTGTGACAAACACACATCCAAATGAAAAGATCATGGAACTACACGTAACTTGATGAAAAGAATGAATAGAAGACTAATTTGTTTGTATAGAAAAAAAAAAGAAAGGATAAAATGAAAGAACATTCGAAAGCCAACCATATAAACCATTTGAACCAAGAACCCAACAAATCCCTATTCCTAAAAAGGTTACAGAAAGATGCGGATCAGGGATCCGCTGCATGCCAACTGGAAGCTGGAACGGCCATAACAAAATCTGCATACATTAAAGTTTAAATCTGTACATATTGTACACCATTTATGCTCTACCAAAAATTTTAGCTGTTTGGCCGAAAAAAAGAAGAAAACATACAAAAGTAGTAGTGCAAAAAAGTCACAGACTGATATAGTTACGCAAAAAACATATATTTTGAATATAGAGGAAAGTGGCAGCTTATAGCTCCACCTCATCGTCATCCAGAATCACGAAACAGTCTTCACCAAGCTCCTCATCGTTGGATAAATAGGATGGACAAGCGCTCTACATCAACGACACATCATCATCGACGATACATAAATGGTAAGCCGATGAGAGGAAGCAACACTAACCGTAATCCCATTTACTTTCTCGCCATTGGCTGGTTCCGATTTGCGTCTTTTTACGTCCGTGGGAGATCGACTAGTGAACTCACGAGAATTGCGCTTAGTGGACTGTAATACGGAAGTGTCTGTGATGATATGATAACTTGGGTTGATAAACTTATTCAAACAAATTCACTGCAAAACAACTCGAACCCAAAACATTTTTGATAATATGTTCACCACGCATACCTCTTTTCTATCCAGAGATCTCTTTTGTGCGCTGCTACGGGCTAAAATTGCAGCCCGATAAACACGATTTTCTTCCTAACAAATAAGCACATATAATAACAGTATCAAAGAAAATCCTGATCTAATCCTACGTACCTCAGCTGCAGCAAGACGCTGAGCCTTGGCAGTTTCATTGCGCTGGCGCAGCCTTCTACTTGTAATTCCGTCGTTTGAGCACTCCTGAACATTTTTGCGAATTTTGAGATATAGTGCCTTAATCGAGCTATGGCCTCATTAGAATCAGTCTGGTACAATTACTGAGACTGAAAGTCAACATCGACAGCAACGAAAGACGAATCATAACAAGAAGCATTGGTACAACAAATATGATGAGTGTGAGGAAAGTTTCGTGAGCAAAGTCCGGGGAAAAAACATGTACCCTAATTTCACGCGTACAAGGCGCGGGGTGGTCCTAGCTTTCATCGAGCTGCTCAGCCGCCCCAACGTGTTTTAAGAAGCGGTCCTTATCCGCACGATTCGTCAGGCAAAACGCAGCACGGTATGGGGTTCCTTTGGTTGCGAAGTTTGCCGTGTTCGGGCTGGTCGATGAAAGCTAGGACCACCCCGCGCCTTGTACGCGTGAAATTAGGGTAACTTACAGCAGCTTCCTCAAGATCTTCTTCATCACTATTCTCACAACAATCTGCGCAGTGCCATTCGCAGTTAACCTGCAGGTAACTGATGAGCTTTAATGGAAGAACATTTGATGAAAAATACCTTCTTTGGAACTTTTTCAAGAGGTGGGTCAAGACAGCCGATGTGGTAAAACTCATGACAAGAATCACAGCCGATAATCAGATGTTGATCGTTACTCTAGAAGAAAGCAGATAATAACTGCAACACATTACAATACAGAACTTACTTTTCCGCACTCCTTACAAACACTGATGGACATTTCCTTTTTATGCTTTCCCGGGGTGTCTGGAGTATCCGCAGTCCTATCCTTGACAAAACCGTTGTTCCTAAAACAGATCCCTCTAACACACCACAATGAGAACTAATTGCTATACCCAATGCTGCCGTTTTTCTCTATGGATTCGAGGAAAAATGACGAGGAAGACGGTAATTTCTTAGCACCCAGCTTCATGAGAGCAGCATGGAACGCGAGCGCTAACTGTTTTCTGCGCTCACTGCGCTCTCTCCCTAGCTGTCCTGACTGTTCATTCTGAAAACAAGCAAGCAAACTTCAACAAAAAAAAAACATCATTTGGATCCGTTTTACCAATTTCAACTTTGTCATATGTGTATCAAGTTGTTTTTTCAGGGCTGCCTTCGAATCATTAATAGACCTCAGCTTCCTTTCTTCGGCAGCAAGAACGACCTGCTCGCGATGAGCCAGATACCTCAACAACAAGGATGCCATTTTTGGTGAAAAATAACAGATATAACTCACTCAAAGAACTGCGGCGAAAATCCGGGTGAGAGAAAAGGTATGGATTCGCCAGAAACGCGCGTAAACTCCTGTACAGAACATTTGCACGACCAAAAGAAACAGAGCAATAAAGAACACCTTTTTGAATTGCTCCGGTTCGATGCCACTTATTTCAGCTTTTTCTTGAAACCATTCGAAAAACTCCGGCGAGGTTGTCAGATGACGAGCACGGCGGGTTTTCTTCTCAAACTTAAATATTGCAATCACAGCAACGCTCCCACCATCCCACGCGTATTAAGCCTTTCGCTTTTTATCAATTTTGTTTAGAGTTGAATAATCATTCAAAGTCGCAGCTGCATACCTTATCATGAAAAGCCTCAGGCAAACAGATAGTGACTCCAACGAGAGACTGGAACTGCTTCTCATACTTTTGCCTTGCTCTCAGTCGCTTGCGCTCTTCCCTTTCCGAAAGCACTTTTCTTCTAAGCAGTGTAAGTCGTCTTTCCTCCTGAGCTAGAAAACGTGCTGCGCTGCAAAGACATTGTCAGAAGTGACACACTTAAAATACTGCTTTACTCACGCAGCTCTTTTGACTTGTACTTCATCGGGGTTTGAGTGCTGCCTGCAATTTATATATCGGGGTTCCACTCCTTGACTATCACCAAGCCGAGGTGAGTGGTGAGAATCGTAACCCTCGCTGTGGTCTACTAGTAGTCCCAACCTAAAATCAAGTTCCCATCACATATAGCTGATGTTCTTGAAGTGAAGAACGATACCTTTGAGCACAAGTCGCGTGATAATACTGTTTACACATCCCTAGTTCACAGCGAGTGGTTACACCGGAGCGCGCCTCCAGGACATCCGTACAACCATTGCAGCTCTAGAACTAGCGAATATGCTGCGAATGTGAGAGAAATCCGACTGACCTTTCTCCCAAAATTGCGGTGATCCATTTCTTGCCAGCTGATGGCGGTCAGATGATCTATATCACCAAACGTTATGCCTCGAGTATACAAAGCGCAAACAAGATGTACCCATCGCCCTCCAACGTCTGAAATGGTACTACTCAGCGTTTAATTGCAAAAATGAACCAAATCAAAGCGAAGATTAACCTGATCTTTTCATAGCTCCTAATCTGGAGGGACATAATTCGCAGTACGGCGGCTCATTGTATCCAAAAATGCATGGCTCGCAAAACCAAGGTTCCGTAGATGAACTAGATTGGGTACTGTCATTATCTTCACTAACGTCTAGTGACATGTAGCAAGAGTCATGCACGGTAAGGCCACATCTGGAACATTGAGAAAAAATTTGTCTAAATAAGATGTGACCCGCTAGAAGCCTACTTGTCACACTGCATGACCTCTTCGCTATTTGCTATACTCGACAGATTGAGGCAGAGAGCACAGATGCGCGGTTGCTGAATGGTATCAAAAATGAAATAAATGATGCTAGCATGGCACACACACGCTAACAATGAAAAAGCACAAAAATATCAAAAGAAAGAACTAACCTCGACAGCAACACTAACCAATTCGGAAACGGAGTTCTAAAGCACTGAGGATCAGAAACACATAACATAAGTAAATCTTATATACCCCGTAGTGCTCTTTCACACTTTTATCATCTGCGTTTGATGAAGTAGTACCCGAACTGTCATCGGAATCTTCGGAATCACTGCCCTCAGAATCGGACCCTTCATTTGATTCATTCTCGTTGTCAGCTGAACAGAGGAGTCGAAATATGAGTTCAGAAGGATAGATGTTACTCACCCACGAAATCTTCGTCGTCCTCCTCATCTTCGTTGTTAGGCAAAACCAGATCGAGCACGGCTGCTGTTGGCTTTATTTGTCGCTTACCAGGCGCACGAGCACCTGAACAGTGGAACTACAACGTCTAGGACAAAAACGAATATGTGCAAAGCGTGACAAAGAGGGGGGTTCGCAGAGCACGACCAATCACCGCTACGATGACCCGTCCCCTGTCACGCCTTCTTCTGAGCCTTCGGCCTCCATTTTTTAATTACGCTGTAGAAACGATATTCCTATAATGAGGATACCTATGCTCGTCACTGTTATGTTAAAAACTCAACAAATCGTCTCACCACAAACTGCCGACAAAAACATTTTCAACGGTGAAATCAGAAAACAAAACCAAAACAAATGTTTGACTCCAAAAACGATATTCAAATTACTTAATAAAGAACGAGATCATAAACACACTCGACAAATTTCTACAAAAATATAGGGCCACATTATTCGCAAAGATGTGAATTCCGAAAAAATTCGGAACATAGTCCGCAATGAAACAAAATGCGTCCCTACAGACACCAGTCATTTCCTATCTACAAGCGCAGGTGAGATTTTTCAGGTGCATGACATTAAAAAATCAAAGCTATATGAGCAAATGGAGAAAATTGTGGCATCAAGCGCTAAAATTTTTATTTGCGCATTCTCGAAGTAGAAAAAAGGAGAGTAAAAAAATCTCATTACTTCAAAATGCGCGGTCAATACCCATGCCTCTTGTTACCCGGCCTAATATGTGCTCTGCAATGGAAGAAAAACCACGCTTTCTTGTAGTTCAAAATTTTCTTTTTCTAATTCTAGCTCCATACTGTGCAACTAACTGAGAAGTGAGCTGCAAATATGTCGTGACTTGCTTTATTTGTATGTTTACTCAACCTGCACTCACCTATACATCACATCAACATGATCTGAACATGGAAAATTTTTAGAACGTAAGAATGAGTAGCTGACCCGAGTTGGCGTAAGAAATGATTAGCACGAACAGCTCAGAGATTCAGCCTTTATCTACCTCTTTGAATCTATGAAATCATCTACACCCCCGCGGCTTTCCCACTAACAAGATGCCAGAAGCGACCTGTGCCAGAGTATGGAGATTCAGGACTTACTTGTGTAGTTGAAAAAGCTCCTCCGTTCGGCTTCCGTCATTGCTAATCGCAGCTGGAGCGATCTGTAGATGGAACTCGCAATAGATCTATAGAGAGTGGGCCAGCACGAGCAGAACACATGCCTTGTGAACTCGCGCGCGCGGTCGTCGCAGCGCTGTCGGGCCAGGACCCGCATCTGGCTCAGCCAGGCAACACAACGGTCGCCAGCAAAGAACGTTCAACTGATGAAAGACGGAGCGATTGGTTTTTAGGTCAGGTCTTCTACAATAGGTTTATATGGCACACATCACCTTAGGTTCCTAACACAAGCCCATCCGGTCGAGAGAAAGCAATGACAGTACTTGCGAAACTTCAGAAGGACCGTGCTGATTCCAAACAAATAGGTATGTCTGGATCTAGATATCTGTAGATGCGTGGCTTTGCCTATAGCTAAAGGTATTTGCATATTCACTCCTACTTTCTCCGGCATTTCTTTTCCTTGTTTTGATTTTCTTTCGCTTGGGACTTGGTGACTCACCGTGATGTGTTAGCCTGTTTGTGTATTTTCGCACTTAGCACTTCGACTGATTGGTAGGATTTTTGTATACAGGTTAGCTTCCGACAAAGAAAAAGTTGGTTTTTTACTTGAGACCAATTCCTGCCTTTAGCGATTTAACAAAGTCTTGATTTTATCGAACATCCCATGTATAAGTACCTAGTCGTATATTCTCCACTGAGAAAATCAATTTTCTTTATAAAAAAGCAACTTTCGTTTTCCTTTAGCCTTCGTCATAGCTCGAGCGATTCCATCAAATCGCCACGCGATCTGGCAATTTTCCAGATGTCTGCAATTCATTCTTTTAAAAGGGAGGAGTATGCGTACTCGTGTCTCTCAAATAGCGAAGTTGGCTCGTGAACACTGTTTGGGATTGGCCCTTTGAGAAGCACACACGCACAAGGTATTTTTTCGTCCTTGCATTCGTTGTCAGAAGCAGTGTTTCCAATTCCTTTGCAGTGGTAAAAAAGGGAAGTCCAACGCGGGTCTGTAATCCATGACACCGAGAGGTAGTTATTTTGCTATTGCAGTGTAGCCAAAATCAAAGTATCACAATCACACATCAACGTAAATGAGCCTGTCCGTAAATCCAGCGACTCGGGACCGCCGCGCTCGGGATCCAAGGCACTGAGAGAGTGATCTGTTAACATTTTCACGTGTCTTTGCCCTGACGTGAGCACAAACGGCGGCGAGCGAAGCGACCTTGAAGACCAGAGCGCCAGTCGACACTCACAATGAGACAGGGTTTTAGGTCAAAAGGCGCGATTTTTGTTGTCAGATTGACACCCGTTAGCGCATTTTGGGCTTTTAAGTGTGTTTTAGAATCATTTTGAATTATTGAGGTAATACGCAAGATTGCTGTCAAGGCTGTTCATCCTTGTATCTTAAAATTGATACAAAACACAAATGTTGGGCGGCAAAACCCGTGAAGCAACTGATGGCAATTCCTGAGTGTCTCGATCAGTTTTTCACCGAGAGAGTCAAACTTAGCATTTTGTAGCAAGCTAAAGCACTTTGTCTGGTATATTTGGAGCCTCATAGCTCTGAATTGGGCTGTTGAGTTGGTGACCTCTGAAGAAACCGCGCCTCTTGAGCCCGTTGACCGTCTTCCATAATACACCTTGTAAGCGCTTTTCTATAGGAACAAGCCGTGGTCCACTTCCACCTCATCCACTCCATCCACATCGCTTTGGTCAAATCAAATTTGAGTGGCGTGCCTTAGGTACGCGCAGAAAAAAAAACGCAGTCGGATGATAAGGTTTCACGCACGAGAGATGTTATCTTTCAGAGTGTTTGCAGGGCGACTGCTTATATAAGAATAATTTTAACAGATTTGGTATTTTTTTCTGTTTTCCAGGGATTTTTGTACGTCCGCGCGTGCTCTCTCTCCATCTAACCATCAGTACGTATTGCGAATCATCATATCAAATCAAATGAATACATGTAGTGTATTACCAGATATCTTGCTTCGCAAATGGTTGATTCACGCCGATCCATATCACTTGCCGTCATGGCATTGACGCGCCACCCCTCTGTCGCGAATGTTTATTGCACCCTAGCATTATGCTTTCACTCCATTTGTTTGATTTGATTTACAGATGTTTGCCAAAGCCGGCGTCTTAGACATATTGAAACCGTCTAATGTTGAACTCTGTTTGATCGTACAGAAATCACTGGAGAAAAATTTTAAGAATGTGGAAGTGGACCTCAAAACTTGTCCCGGTAGGTGTTGTCGTAGATTTGGTTCCATTTCAAATCGTTCGTCTTTTCTGGATCTTGCATTGTTACTGTGTTGTGAGAGTTATCAAACTGTTACTTAAAACAACCCAATTTAGATCTGTCAGCAGCGCCCTTCAACATGACTTCGAATGGTTTTGGTCGTAAACTCGTAATAGCTGAAGTTGGCGGACCAGGCAATCTTTACCCAGTCATACATAAAGAAAAAGAATTCGATCTACTGGTAATTTCTGTTTTTTTGCAAGTCATTCGCCTCTATACTAGCTTTTTGAGGAGATTTGTCGGCATTGCCAAGCACCATCGTCTTTCGTGTTTGGTCCTGGTGCAGGTCCCTGGCAAGTGGTTGGGAAAAATTGTGAAATGGTCGCTGATGCGAATTTCTCCACATCAAAAGTACTGCCCTTTTTTGAGATTGTAGCGTTCTGATATTTATTCCTTCTCATCTGCACTCTTGCTGACAACGATTTCACTCAAGACATAATTACCACGGGGAAATGTTTGATAGAAACGAGCGATCGGCTCAGCTTGTTCACATATTGGTGAAGAATGTAATTTTTGGAGCGGGGGGGGGGAATTCATTCAGATATCTCAAGCTTGTATTAGGTTGATACACAATTCTTGCAACAAAAAATAGAAAAAATATTTTAAAAATGCTTAAACATGCTAATCAACTTACTGAATATGCTCTCTGTTATGTATATCAAAAATAGTATTTTATAGTACATTTTAGAAAATCAGTATGTAACAAAATCAATAACTCAGTTTTAAAAAATCAAAATTCGTAACTATTCGCAGAGACATCCAATCACTTCCAACTTCTCTTAATTAAAAAGAGCATGTCATAAAACTTGAAGCAAAAATAAATTTAATTTCTAATAGACGTTTTAGCAGTTTCAATGAGCAAAAATCGAAACACCGCTTTTTGGTTTTTTTTTATTGACATTATATCGCTGCGGTATGCTCTCAAGGAATTATGGCTTAAGCGCCATCAGAAAGCACATGATTTGCTCTCTCTAATATGTACCAAATCAGACTATTTTATCAAAGCTGGGTGAAGTAACAGAATTTCAAAAATTTTGGTGCAAGAATTATGCATCAACCTAATACTGGCATTTTTCAGGTTGCTACCAAATTAGCATCAATAGTGGAAGGTCATGCAAAACCATACTTGATGTCCACAACTGACTCTCCAAAGTTCAATCTGATGGCCAATCTGGCGATATCTGCCAAAGCTGGACCTGCTGAGGTAGGTTAGTGAACTATGTGCTAGTCGTTTCTAAGGGGTTTGAATGTACGTTCAGTGCATTGCAAGTGTTCTGTTCGAGTTGGGGAAGAAAATTTTCCGGAGACGATACGTAGAGGACTTGCCGCTCACTATGGCGAGAAGTGAGATACTTATACATTTCCGTTTGTCTATCCATTAATCACCGCGGAACCGAACAAACATAACTAATTTCCATTAACAATAAACGGGAGACAGCTGAATTACAGCAATACAGGAACTAGGTCAGTAAGAGTCTACGAAATAACAAGTTACGTTAGATATTTTAGTGACGTTTTCCAAAAGGGTCAAAGGAGACTTCGTAATATTTTGCAAAAGTGATGGTGGGGGGGGGGGGGGGGACTTCGTTTTCGAAGAACCTAGAAACGGACTCATGCCGAGGCCTGATTGCAATTGGTTCCTTAGCATCTCATGAAGAAATAACCTTGCAGCTTGTGCTTGCTTTAACATACCCTCACTACATGCTGATATGATATCTCATGTATACAGATGTGTATCTCTCGCCGGCATATTTCTGCTAAGAGAAGGTGAAGCAAAACTTCATGTGATGCCCGATTTCCCAGGATGCCCGTTTGGAAGTGAAAAGGAAGTGAGTTTGCTTTCACTTCTTCCCCGTTTTCTATTTCGTGCATTCTCCTTATCCGCAGCTTCTTTTGACAGTTGTATAATTAAGCCTGTTGTATCGTTTGACTTGTTAATTACGGGCATGGCTGCCGTTTTGCGCGGTAGATATGCAAGAAAGCAAATTAGGTCGACAGCTATCTGGTTAGCATATCTGATATACTCAAAAGTCAGCTCATTTCTCTCAGAATGGTGCTTACTTAGCCAGTGTAAATTCTGTTTGAATGTGATCAGATTGTCAAGACTAAAATTGTTAAAACTCGTAGCTTTTTAGAAGTATTTTTTGGTAGTATACATTTTGCTGGTTTCTTTTGGAATATCATAAATATTTGTTTTGAGATCGAGCAGTGGCTGCGCTTCTTCACAATGAAAGCTCCTCTAGTCTGTGCTTCTGTGTTCCACTCCTACGACCCTGGCCATAAATTACGAATGGAACACACTCATTGTTATTCGGAGCATGGCGATGCTGGTAAGATTTACTGATTTACAGAATGGCCAATGCCAAGCAATAGTATGCTACTAGAAACCCTCTACAACGATCTTTGTAGGACATTATCATTATGATACTACTCCTGATACAGTTGTCTACGAAGGATGGTTTGCTGCTGCAGAAAAAATCTATCGAATAGATGAAGTTTGATGATCGCAGGCTTCCATTTTTCTTTTGAACTGAAACACTGAAAAGATGAACGCGTTGTTGTGCAGTTATCAACTGTTCAAGTATCGATATTTGATAATCTTAGTATCACTATAGTTGATCACTATGGTTGTCAGAAGATTGCTAGATTTTATTTTCATCTATGCACGCTCAATTCATTGAACACTCTGTATTTTGGAGCACTTATGTTCCTCATTTTTTTTAATCACATGGTCTGTATCTTCCCTTCACTTGGGTCCACTTCGCACGTTGTTTTCTGGCTCCGTCATCGATAGAAATCCTTCAATTTTTGCAATTTGAACTTTCATTTCGAATTTATCTGTTTTTTATATACTAGAACCACTTTTTCTTTTTACCTAAAATTGAACTCTCGCCTACTTAAACTTCCATAAAAAATTTATCTCGAAATTCCAAGATATTAACATGAAGGCGACTTGCTCGCATTTATCGCGAAGTCTACTATAGGCTGCTGCATGACGGAGGCGCAATATATATTTGGGCGTGAACGCGGCTTTGTTAACCGGACGCGCAGGATATGCAACGGTGAAGACGCGCGCAGCGTTTCTGTCCCTTGACTAATACTGTTTCTGCGTCTTCGTCGTGCAGTAGCCTTCAAATCAACAGTGGATTTTTGTTCAATTGGTTAAAGGCAGTGGCTCGGCAAAACCGAACACCTCGACATTTTGATATAGAAGGTTGCGTGCATCCCGAACGTGAGAACAGAGCAGGTCCGAGTGCACAGCATGCTGCCGCTGCCGAGAAAACCGCCCCTAAAACCGTGCGCCCAAGCCATTCTTACACGCTATACTATTTCTTATACGCGCTCGGACGAGCTTGAAATTCTCCTCCCATCGTCAGAGACGGCATGCCGCAATGCTTTGTACATGAGGGTCCCGCAATGACTCTACGTCTCTAACCATGGCGGGAAGTGGTACGCTTGTCCAAATTCAGAATAATGGGCCTTGGAAAACGCTGCTTTTCGCCGGGTAGAGGACTACATGTCGCCGAAAAAGGGCGGTCCCCGCCGTCATTTGCCACAAATACGCACTCTTGTACATGCGCGGACATGCGTTCCTGCATCCGCGCGGGACTCTTCCAGACCCGGCGACATATAGTCCCCCACCCCTTTTCGGCATTTTCACGATCTCCAAAGTGTATTTTTGGGATCAGTGCCTCGAAATATCCCAGATAAGCGAAAGAATTTCAGGTCACAAGCCATTGCCTTTAAGTTCATGGGTTAAGGGAAAACGGTTCAAATGATAGGAAAATCAGTGTTTAGCTTCACCTTGCTGTTAATGTTTCAAAGAAAATTAGTATCAGCAAAGTGTGCAGCGTTCGTCAGTTTACATCTAATATAGGCTGTTATTTTCCAATGTGAGGAAGACGCATCTGAAGAACAATGTCCATCAGATTTCGAGGAACCTTTAAGACGCAGAAACTAGGAAGACCGAACTTAAAGAGGAAAATATAGTGATGGAATGGCGCAGTACAAGAGTTAATCGAGAAGAAGAAGATGATTGGGAGTAGAAGATGCGCGTTATGAATATCTGAATGCAAAAGAAAGAAGAATGTTGGGAAAACGAAGGAAGCTTATATGGAAAATTCTGTAAAGATGCACAAGGCTTGCGGAAAAATATACCGAATTGCGAAAAGAAGAGCAAAATCCACACTAAACAGGGATCATTTCTAACGGTTAAGATTATGCACGTGAGTATCCTGAACAGACAAGAGATAAGTGCACAATGAACGCACCTCAAAGCAATAGCATCTACAAGCCACAAGAGGTCATGATATGATAGGTGTACCTGTACGGGACAAACGAAGATCACAGAGGAAGCCAGCGCCATGACGAAGACGAAGAACGGCAAGGCAACATTGCCCAGACCCCACAGGATTATAAAAGTCAAACCGACATCGTTTTTGACTTAGGCGTCAAAAAATAAAAAGCGTGTATGATCCGCAGTGTACGGACTTTACATTCAATTTGACGCCTAATATCAGAAAAATGAGAATTCCTTGTTTCTGACCGTCTTTTCGAATCGGCTATATTATAGAAGCCAAGGCATATGCTGAAACTGAGATTTTAAAAAGTACTCCAAAGTGAAGTTCAGTAATCACAATGAACCAATCACGGCCAGATTTGGAATTTATATGTTTTCGAGGTCCTTCTTTTCAGTAACAATGCCTGTTTAGGGCAAAAGGTCAGATACAAGAGTTACAAACAAATTTTGAAGGTCAGGATCTAACGGTTAAAACTAGAGAGCCTGTTTTTTGAAGTTAACTGTGGGTGAAACTAGAATCTTGCCTGCATTTGATCACAGTTGTGCATGTAACTACAGTCTCCCCTTCCCCGCGTCGCGACTGACCTCATAAAGGTTATCCATTATCAAGCAAGACTTATTTACAGTCTTGTTGGCTACAAGCTGTGCACCTGTTAGCGAGGTCAGTAATGTCGTACGTATATCATTTCATTTCATTTATTACATAGGATCAACCTATGTTAAAGTAACAGTAAAACAAAATTTGAAGAACAAAACGGAATAAACACAACAAAAGAACAGAGCACAAACATTTGGTCAAGTAATAGCAGAAGGACCCGTGTTAGTCGTAGTGCTAGTGCCGGACTTCAGATAACTCTTCAAGATGGTCTTGAATTGAGATAACTTTGCAGGAAACAATCCTTTCCTGATGAGCCTGTCCATATCAAAAACAACACGACAAGTGAAAAAGTTTCTGCGGACCTGTAATCTGGACCTGGGAATAACCAACTTACGATGGCCCCCCCCCCTCGTAGTGGAAACCGTGGTAGGGAAAAATACCTTGAACTCTAAACCACATTTACCATATGCAATCTTATGCGCCATTATTAGGTCAAACTTGCGTCTTCTATAGGCAAGCGTGGTGAGGTTAAGATTCATATTGCGTATCTTACCATTTGGTATCAAATCATAGATATAACCAATCTTGCGTATAAAGAGTTTGCGCGTGAAAGTATTCTGAACCTTCTCAATGTAATCAGCGGTTTTATGTACATATGGATTATATATTACGGTGCCATATTCCAGCATAGGCCTTATGAAAGACTTATATGCTCTCAAGAATACCACCGTATCGTTTGTTGAGAATGCTCTGAATAAGTTATTTACTGCTCTAGTAGCTTTATCGGCTATTCGTATATCATGTGCACGAATATCGAAATAAAGAACTTATGGTTTTGGCATGAGCTCATTATCTAACCTTCACCTTGAATTTTGCTGAAATTGAACATAGCTAGAAACGAAAAAACATCAAAAACGTATAAATCCCAATTCTGGCCATGGCCGGTCCACTAATATTCCTGAACTTCAACCTGGAATTTTTTTTTGAAATCTCATTTCTAGCATTTGAAGTCTCACTTCTAGCATTTGAAATCTCACTTCCAGCTTTCAGCAAACAGACACTGTTACTGAAAAGAAGGACCTCGAAAACATATAAATCCCAAATTTGGCCGTGATTGGTTCATTGTGATTACTGAACTTCACTTTGGAGTACTTTTTAAAATCCCAGTTTTAGCATATGCCTATTGGCTTCTATAATATAGCCGATTCGAAGAGACGGTCAGAAACAAGAAATTTCCATTTTTTTTGATATTAGGCGTCAAATTGAATGTAAAGTCCGTTTACTGCGGATACTACGCACTTTTTATTTTTTGACGCCTAAATCAAAAACGATGTCGGTTTGACTTTTATAATCCTGTCCAGACCCCAGCGAATTCTGGAAGGTCTGCGGGCAAGCCACTGGTACGGAAGCGTAACTTTTACCAATATGGAAGAAAAAAGGGACACAGCGGACTGCTCTACGTGCCGTCCTATACGTCCGATGAGCCACCGCTAAAATTTTTTTGAAAGAATGCTTAAGAAGAAAAGCATCAGAGAGCTGGTTCTTGATCATTGTGGATTTGTGAAGGGCTTTAGCAGGATGGACGCCATCCACACAGCCAGAATAATGGTTGAACGAAGCAAGGTAAACACACGCCGCGTTCTTCGATTTCGAGAAGGCCTTCGATGAAGTACTACTAAATAATATGTGGGCACTGCTTAATATCTCCTCCATGACGAAGGCGGTCGCCCAAATAGGTTGAGAGCATGTAAGGCTGACGCGCACGCGGCGCGCGGGCAATTGTCAACCACGGGTCGCCGCACGCTCGCGTGTATGACCGCTGACCTAGCGTGCGCGCGCCCTGTGGTTGACAATTGCCCGCGCGCGGCAGCCTTGCATGCTTTCAACCTATTTGGGCGACCGCCTTCGTCTTGGAGCAGATATTAGACATATAGTACCAAAGGGCTAGGTACACCGGATTTAAATAGTTACAAAGACACCACTAGCGACGCCAAACAGCAGGTCCTCAGAAGAAGTTTTGGTGCGCGCTGGAGTACATACATACATTAAAAGTACCGTCCACCCTAACTTGAGGGTGTTGAGCTCTTGGCAGCATATAATAGTAGGGCCCCCTATCAATACAATGCCCAAGTCGCGGCGCAAAATGCCTCTTCGGAAGCGAAAAAATCGCTTCGGAATAGCGCAGATGCACGAGGATCCCCATCCATGCCCGCCTATTTATGCGCGCCCATCCAATCACTGTTCCAAAAAGCTGGCCTGTGGGTTCCGGAACGGAAATTGTCGGGGTTTTCGCGCATTCTCGACTTCATTCGGAATCAGGGACATGAGAAGGCCCTGAAACGACAAAAACGTGGTTGAAATTTTGGATGGACGGTGCCTTTAGAGGCAGCGGCTCGGCATGATAATAACTTTGGGATATTCATCATGACCCGCTTTTCCCGTGAAAAGTGCTGTTTGGGCGGCTCGCGAAAGTGGCTGCTGGAACCAATAATCCAATTGCCGCCGACTTGGGTACGGTGTCATTCACGAGCCAATCGTCTAGAGGGCAGGCATACGCCGTCCGTTCAAATAGCACTTTTCGTCTGGAAAAGCGGGTTATTGATATCTCTTGAAGCTGCAAAGCACAGTCTTGGACTTCGCTCATCTAGGGAAACCGCGAACAATGAATGTCCCAAAGATGTCATTCTGCCGAGCCGCTGCTTTCAAAGTTACATACTCTCACCGCTCCTGATTACCGTGATGATTGCGATAGTCATCACTTCATACGGCCACTATCTGAGCATACGCGGACGATATAATTCTACTAGCAAGAAGCAGATAAGAACCAGATGGATGGAAAGATCAGCAGGAGCTATCTCCAAGTAGCTGAGAAGCCGTATCTCCGCAGATAGTCTCCACGATGAAACACCAAAAGATTGAATGCAGCTTGGATGGAGTGGGAAGCATGTCAGGAGTCTCATTCACGGAATGCTGCAAGATCTCAAGTCGCTGATATA